ATTGCAACTCCACGAGGTGAGATCTTGCATGGAGCCCCAGGCCGAGGGAGATTGACAGTTCTTTTGTGTTTCTTCCATTAGCGAATAATCGCACCAACTGTTGTCACCTTCTCACCAAGCTGCTTGGCGATGGTCTTGTATCCCATTCCAGCCTTGTGTAGGTCTACAATCATTTTTACATTTGAGATTCTTCAATCTTGTCCCTGACATCCTTGGAGAGCTCTTTGGTCTTGGCCATGGTGGAGAGTTTGGAATCTGATTGATTGATTGCTTCTGTGGACAGGTGTCTTTTATACAGGTAACAAACTGAGATTAGGAGCACTCCCTTTAAGAGTGTGCTCCTAATCTCAGCTCGTTACCTGTATAAAAGACATCTGGGAGCCAGACATCTTTCTGATTGAGAGGGGGTCAAATACTTATTTCCCTCATTAAAATGCAAATCAATTTATAACATTTTTGACATGCGTTTTTCTCGATTTGTTTGTTGTTATTCTGTCTCTCACTGTTCAAATAAACCTACCATTAAAATAATAGACTGATCATTTCTTTGTCAGTGGGCAAACGTACAAAATCAGCAGGGGATCAAATACTTTTTACCCTCACTGTAGAATCGTGAGAATCGCAATACACTACCAGTCAAAAGTTTAGACACACCTACTCATTCAAGGGTTGTTCTTTATTTTTTAAATGTTTTACATTGTAGAATAATAGTGAAGACATCAAAACTATGAAATAACACAACCAAAAAAGTGTTAAACAAATCAAAATATATTTTACATTTGAGATTCTTCAAATAGCCACCCTTTGCCTTGATGACAGCTTTGCACACACTTGTCATTCTCTCAACCAGCTTCATGAGTTAATCACCTGGAATGCATTTCAATTAACAGGTGTGCCTTGTTAAAAGTTAATTTGTGGAATTTCTTTCCTTCTTAATGCGTTTGAGCCAATCAGTTGTGTTGTTACAAGGTAGGGGGGGTATACAGAAGATATCCCTATCTGGTAATAGACCAGTCCATATTATGGCAAGAACAGCTCAAATAAGAAAAGAAAAACGACAGTCCATCATTACTTTAAGATATGAAGGTCAGTCAATAATGAACATTTCAAGAACTTTGAAAGTTTCTTCAAGTGCAGTCGCAAAAACCTTCAAGCGCAATGATGAAACTGGCTCTCATGAGGACCGCCACAGGAATGGAAGACACAGAGTTACCTCTGCTGCAGAGGATAAGTTCAGAGTTACCAGCCTCAGAAATTGCAGCCCAAATAAATGCTTCACAGAGTTCAAGTCACAGACACATCTCAACATCAACTGTTCAGAGGGCCTGTGTGAAACAGGCCTTCGTAGTTAAATTGCTGCAAAGAAACCACTACTAAAGGACACCAATAATAAGAAGAGACCTGCTTGGGCCAAGAAACATGAGCAATGGACATTAGACCGGTGGAAATGTGTCCTTTGGTCTGGAGTCCAAATTTGAGATTTTTGGTACCAACCGCCGTGTCATTGTGAGACGCGGTGTGGGTGAACGGATGATCTCTGCATGTGTAGTTCCCACTGTAAAGCATGGAGGAGGAGGTGTTATGGTGTGGGGGTGCTTTGCTGGTGACACTATCTATGATTTATTTAGAATTCAAGGCACACTTAATCAGCATGGCTACCACAGCATTCTGCAGTGATACGCCATCCCATCTGGTTTGGGCTTAGTGGGACTATCATTTGTTTTTCAACAGGACAATGACCCAACACACCTCCAGGCTGTGTAAGGGCTATTTTACCAAGAAGGAGAGTGATGGATGGCCTGGCCTCCACAATCCCCCGACCTCAACCCAATTGAGATGGTTTGGGATGAGTCGGACGGCAGAGTGAAGGAAAAGCAGCCAACAAGTGCTCAGCATATGTGGGAACTCCTTCAAGACTGTTGGAACAGCATTCCAGGTGAAGCTGGTTGAGAGAATGCCAAGAGTGTGCAAAGCTGTCATCAAGGCAAAGGGTGGCTATTTGAAGAATCTCAAATATTAAATATATTTAACACTTTTTTGCTTACTACATGATTCCATATGTGTTATTTCATAGTTTTGATGTCTTCACTATTATTCTATAATTTAGAAAATAGTAAAAATAAAGAAAAACCCTTGAATGAGTTGGTGTGTCCAAACTTTTGACTGGTACTGTATATCGTATCGACACCTAAATATCGTGATTATATAAATATCGTGAGGTCCCTGGCAATTCCCAACCCTAGTTTTCTGAGAAAATCCTTCACCTCACTTTTCAGTAGACTTTCCAGAATATAGCTGTATCTAAAGTTGAAATACCATAACTTACCTATATTCTTTCCTTTCTACACAGTATGTTGTATGTTACAGCACAGATAAGATGATTGTGTGCAGGCAAGGGAGGGAAATTCCAGCGTTTTTTGTGACATGGATCCCCTTACGGCTTCTATTCCTCTGCCTAGGGGGTGGAGGGGGGCAGAGATGGTTGTAAACTACATCTTCAATGGTCTACAGCTGGAGCAGTCTTTCATCATGGGCCATCACACACACACACACACACACCGTTTGTGACAAGGCTTTGATGTACAAGAAGCAGTGGACATGGCTCCTACGGAAGTGTATGTAGGTTTTGCTGAAAGCAAACTGCCTTCAAATCAATGCAAAAGCCACACAAATGGCGGGATGTACAACTGTACAATGTTAGACTCCATATTTATAACACACTAACAAACTGCAGCATTTGAAGCTCGTTTTAGTGTAATGTTTGGCTGTTGGGCTGCTCCAGATTGGGGATAAATCAACATGAGGTGGGGTAAACGAGGTAATCTGATATCGGGGAACCGGAGCGGACTTCCTTCTCCAAACAAACAGCCAGGACTGTCAACACAGACCCTTCTACGCCGAGAGAAAAACACAAACCTTTCTGGAACTACACTCCTTGCAAGGAGCAGCAAACCACAAGCCTGAGAAAACTGCACTGTGGAATTTAAACGAGATAGCAAGGTCTTCTATGAAGCGTTTCACATGGTGCAGCTGTGACCAGTGTGAAATTGCTAGCTAGATAGCGGTGCGCACTAGTAGCTTCAATCGGTGACGTCACTAGCTTTGAGACCTTGAAGTTTTTGTTTCCCTTGCTCTGCAAGGACCGCGGCTTCTGTGTAGCGATAGGTAATGATGCTTTGTGGGAGGCAGTTGTTGATGTGTTCAGGGGGTCCATGGTTCGAGCCCAGGTTGGGGCAAGGAGAGGGACAGAAGCAACACTGTTACATTGATGTTGTTTACCCGGATCACTTAGTTGTGCTCTGCCAAGCTGCTGGGGTTGCTGCGTAGAAGGAGGAGGTGAGTGTAACCGGTGTGAAATGGCTAGCTAGTTAGCGGTGCTCGCTAGTAGCGTTTCAATCGGTGACGTCACACGCTCTGAGACCTTGAAGTATTTGTTTCCCTTGCTCTGTAAGGGCCGCAGCTTTTGTGGAGCGATAGGTAACAATGCTTTGTGGGAGGCAGTTGTTGATGTGTTAATAGGGTCCCTGTTCTAGCCCAGGTTGGGGAAAGGAGAGGAACGGAACCAACACTGTTGCACAGCCTGCCGAGAAGGATTTCAATGTTTAATTCCTATGTTAAAGCCGTCAAAGTCATCTCTGCACCTTTGGTTTGATCACTTTCTAATTTCATTGTCAACAATGTATACAGAAGTTTGAAGTAGATTCAACTACCACAGTGGACCCTTCATATAGTGACTGAACATTTATACTCAAGAGACTAGCCTACATCAGAAGCCAATTCATGTGTCCTTCAGTAGATAATTCAGCAGGCTGCTCTTCTCCAGTGATGCTACTCTGGGACAATGAGTCCTTTGTGTCAGCAGCAGTCACTGTGTTGGACAGCCGTCCCTCCAACAGGACATCCCATCAGAACAAAGGTGCATTGTGGGGCACCGGCGGGATATTGGGAGGCTCGGACAGATCCCTGTCTGTTTGTCATAGAAACAAAGCCGTCGGGTGAGAGAGCACATCTGGCCTTAATATTGGCTCCCACAGTAAGGAGAGGATGCTGTGAGTTTCTCCACCACAGCTGAAACTCCTACACATTCCCATGATATGAGCCTAGGGGAATGTGGCTGCTTGTGATACCCTAGTTATTAACACTAAAGGCCTCCTTTGCGTGTGTTGCAATTTAAAATTGTCGGGTTGGAGCTTTCTCACACACAAACGCACGTAGAGACATGCACACGCGCACACACACACACCTCAGTGTGTGTCAAGATGTAGATTTAGTCAGTGTAGTGCCAGCACGAATAACTGCAATTCTGCTGATTGAGATGCAGTGGTGGAAAAAGTACCCAATTGTCATACTTGAGTAAAAGTGACTCAAGTAAAAGTGAAAGTCACCCAGTAAAATACTACTTGAGTAAAAGTCTAAAAGTATTTGGTTTTCAATATACTTAAGTATCAAAAGTAAATGTCATTGCAAAAATGTACTTTAGTATTCATTTTAGTATCAAGTAAAAGTAAAAGTATAAATCATTTCAAATTCCTTATATTAAGCAAACCAGTTGGCACAATTGTTCGTGTTTTTAAAATTTGCGGATAGCCAGTGGCACACTCCAACCCTCAGACATCATTCAGAAACAAAGCATTTGTGTTTAGTGAGTCTGCCAAATCAGAGGTAGTAGAGATGACCAGGGATGTTCTCTTAATAAGTGTGTGAATTGGACCATTTCTGTCCTGCTAAGCATTCAAAATGTAACGAGTACTTTTGGGTGTCAGGAAAAATGTACGGAGTAAAAAGTACATAATTTTCTTTAGGGATGTAGTGAAGTAAAAGTAAAAGTTGTCAAAAATAGATATAGTAAAGTACAGATACCCCAAAAAACGACTTAAGTAGTATTTTAAAGTATTTTTACTTAAGTACTTTACACCACTGTTGAGATGTGCCAACTCACCGTTGCATTTGACTTCAGGGTCTCCCCAGAACAGCTCTCTGCACTCCCGACACGTTTTACCACCAAAGCCAGGCTTACAGGAGCACTGGCCACTCAGCTGTTGACAAAACACATGCATAAATATTAGAAATGTGACCTTAGGACCCAACAGAAGAAGGGTGTGGTCGTGTGAGAACCCACCTCATTGCAGGACGTCCCAAATGAGTGGTTGGGGTCACAGTCGCAGACGTCGCAGCCCGTCTCGCTGGCCATGTTCCAGGTGTCAGGGGCACACTGGTCACAGTGCTGACCCACCACATTCGGTAGACACTGGCACTGACCGCTGCCGAGATCACAGTGGCAGTCACCCACTGACGGGCACGTGGCTGGGTTGGTGCCCAGGTGGTTACACATACACTCTGAGGGAGAGAAGTTACGTTGCTAGCAGGTTGGCAATTGGACAATGACAACTACTTCACCTCACATTGATACGACAAACAAATAACAAAGAAATGCAAGTTAACTATTTTTACTCACTTCTGCAGTTTTGTGTGAGGGCATCTCCATAGTAACCCAGCTTGCAGCTGTGGCAGCCCTGACCCTCAGTGTGATAGAGACATTTGAGACATTCACCCGTTCTGGCATCACAGGACTCCTGATCCAGCATGTCAATGTTGTTGTTGCACTGGCAGGGTTGGCACTGCCCGCTGTTCTCATGGGGGTTTCCATAGTAACCTGGAGCACACTCCTCACATCTGGCACCTGTAGGGGAGAGGGAAAGACAAAGGAAGAGAGAAGGAACAAGAGGTAAAGGGTGAAGGGGGAAAAAATGCTTAATAACCCCTTCACCAGAATAAGTGTGTCATCACTCACCTCTACAACAACAATCTATTCACCTAGCCACACTATCAGAAATAATGACTGCCTATATATTTACTTCAACAATAACATACTGTATGCCAGGGTTGTGCTCAATTCAGAATTTTGGAATTGACTCCCATTACACTCATGAGCTGAAATTCGAATTGAATTGGCCACACCCCACAGGATGTAGAATGAATTCAGTGCAATTCAAATAAATTCCAGTCAGTCATAGAATGTGTTTCATTTAATCTGACAGGTCACACTTCCAGATACCAAGGAATATATCACTTTTCTCTGGAAACAATGTTCATATACTCTTTTAACCTTAGTGCTTAAAATAGCCAATTATATTTCCATCAACCATTTAATTTGTTTTGCTTCTTTTTGAAGGCTTTAGGATCAACTTAAGGGTTAAACTAATGCATTCTTGTAAATGTAGTATGTTCCCCATATTGAAGCAAATTTAAGTGATTAATGAAATATAATAACTTAGCATATTCATATACAGGTTTTGTTTTCCTTGATATTCATCAATATTTTATATGCATGTATATAATGACATGTTTGATGTTTTATGTACAAAATCTATATTTATATACTGTAGACTATACCTAATACAGTGGGGAAAAAACATTTTTAGTCAGCCACCAATTGTGTAAGTTCTCCCACTTAAAAAGATGAGAGAGGCCTGTAATTTTCATCATAGGTACACGTCAACTATGACAGACAAATTGAGAAAAGAAATTCCAGAAAATCACATTGTAGGATTTTTAATGAATTTATTTGCAAATTATGGTGGAAAATAAGTATTTGGTCACCTACAAACAAGCAAGATTTCTGGCTCTCACAGACCTGTAACTTCTTCTTTAAGAGGCTCCTCTGTCCTCCACTCGTTACCTGTATTAATGGCACCTGTTTGAACTTGTTATCAGTATAAAAGACACCTGTCCACAACCTCAAACAGTCACACTCCAAACTCCACTATGGCCAAGACCAAAGAGCTGTCAAAGGACACCAGAAACAAAATTGTAGACCTGCACCAGGCTGGGAAGACTGAATCTGCAATAGGTAAGCAGCTTGGTTTGAAGAAATCAACTGTGGGAGCAATTATTAGGAAATGGAAGACATACAAGACCACTGATAATCTCCCTCGATCTGGGGCTCCACGCAAGATCTCACCCCGTGGGGTCAAAATGATCACAAGAACGGTGAGCAAAAATCCCAGAACCACACGGGGGGACCTAGTGAATGACCTGCAGAGAGCTGGGACCAAAGTAACAAAGCCTACCATCAGTAACACACTACGCCGCCAGGGACTCAAATCCTGCAGTGCCAGACGTGTCCCCCTGCTTAAGCCAGTACATGTCCAGGCCCGTCTGAAGTTTGCTAGAGTGCATTTGGATGATCCAGAAGAGGATTGGGAGAATGTCATATGGTCAGATGAAACCAAAATATAACTTTTTGGTAAAAACTCAACTCGTCGTGTTTGGAGGACAAAGAATGCTGAGTTGCATCCAAAGAACACCATACCTACTGTGAAGCATGGGGGTGGAAACATCATGCTTTGGGGCTGTTTTTCTGCAAAGGGACCAGGACGACTGATCCGTGTAAAGGAAAGAATGAATGGGGCCATGTATCATGAGATTTTGAGTGAAAACCTCCTTCCATCAGCAAGGGCATTGAAGATGAAACGTGGCTGGGTCTTTCAGCATGACAATGATCCCAAACACACCGCCCGGGCTACGAAGGAGTGGCTTCGTAAGAAGCATTTCAAGGTCCTGGAGTGGCCTAGCCAGTCTCCTGATCTCAACCCCATAGAAAATCTTTGGAGGGAGTTGAAAGTCTGTGTTGCCCAGCGACAGCCCCAAAACATCACTGCTCTAGAGGAGATCTGCATGGAGGAATGGGCCAAAATACCAGCAACAGTGTGTGAAAACCTTGTGAAGACTTACAGAAAACGTTTGACCTGTGTTATTGCCAACAAAGGGTATATAACAAAGTATTGAGAAACTTTTGTTATTGACCAAATACTTATTTTCCACCATAATTTGCAAATAAATTCATAAAAAATCCTACAATGTGATTTTCTGGAGAAAAAAAATCTCATTTTGTCTGTCATAGTTGACGTGTACCTATGATGAAAATTACAGGCCTCTCTCATCTTTTAAGTGGGAGAACTTGCACAATTGGTGGCTGACTAAATACTTTTTTCCCCCACTGTATATAATAGAAGAGGCATTTGAATTTCATTGAATTTTATTCTATTTCCTTTAATTCAAATTTGAATTGCAATTCTGTATCCTCTTTACTACCTCAATTCTAATTCAATTCTGAATTGAGCACAACCCTGCTGTATTCCCTCCTGTCAAACAATCTATATATCAAACTGTGACTGTACATTGCAGGCAGCTATACATCATGGAAAGTCACCTCAAGCTTCAACATGAATGCATACAAATCTTCTGCTTCCTAGGGAACAAGTCTGAATGATTCTGTTCAGACTTGTTCCATAGGAAGCATGGAACAAGTCTAATAAGTAATCCTGCCATGCTCCACTAGTTTACTAGGTGCTCTATAAATCTTGGCAGGTGGTTGTTATTGGCTGCCTACCTCTGTACCCGGGGCTGCAGATACAGAACACCTGGTAGTGGGAGTCCAGACCGCGGTAACATCCGCCGGCAAACTGTCGCCCGCTGCCGGGCCCATCCGGACACATACAGGGCCGACAATGGTCGCCTGAACCCAGGATGGGGTCGCCGTAGTAACCATCCAGACACCTGTAGGGAAAAAGGCAAAAGGTGGTATCTATCACTCTATCATTCACATACATGTCTTTATTATAGACACTAACAAAACAAATCAAAGTTGTTAAGTGGCTTTATGCTACAGGGAGATTTAGACGACCGACTGACTCCCAAGGACCCATTGTAATGCCCACCCATCCAGACATACACCAATGAGCTTCCTTAACCCTTGACGCCTGACTCCTCAACCCACATTGACCCCTGGCTGACCTCTCGCAATTGTGTCCAGTGGTCTGTTCTCGGCAGCCCAGGCACTTTCCGGAGTAGGGGTCGCACTGCTCTGTGTGGCCGTTGCAGGTGCAGAGGCGACAGTTGGGGAAGCCCCAGTGACCCGGCAGACAGCGGTCACACTGACGGCTGTACGCCCCGGGGATACACACACACTGGCCTGTGGCCTCGTGGCAGAACGCATCCTCCGATCCCTGGGGACTGCAATCACAGGCTGCGGGGAGAGAGGGGGAGAGCAAAGAGAGTGATAAGTACCAGATTCAGTGCCTGTAATTGTGCAATACTAAATGGCAGCCTTTTCATTTAGTCAAATTTACGTCTGCAGCCGCTGGGTCCAAACAGGTACGTGGCAGGGGCACACTTGTCACAGTTCCTGCCCACCACGTTGGGGCGACACTGGCACTGCCCGCCACTGGCGTCACACACCGTGCTGAGGGCGCCCTGCGGGTCACACTGGCATGCTGGAAAAATGGAGACAGGAGGAAATGTTAAAGAGAGAGTGGGGGAATGGGCTTAAAAGTTAGTTAAACACACAATCTGGAATGATCTGTTCAAATGGGGGCAATAGTTGCTGCTGGATACATGAGTAAGGTATTTCACTCAAACAGTTTTGAATATGGTATAAGTACTGACTGTACATAAAACCCTGGTTAACCCTTTGTCGCAATATATTTTACCTCAATATATCTTGCCTTTGACATGCTGACAAAGGTTTGTTTCATTAAGGGCGACTGAGGTATTTAATCAACAACACCTTCTATAATCTATCACACTGACAGGCTGACAAAGGCACCGTATCCTTCTCAACAGACGAGTGGAAAGAGAGAGAGGGGTACCAGACATTCCATAGAGGACAGTGAGTCCATGAGTGGAGGAGAGAGACGAGTGAACTGGTATTCACTAGGTCACGTCAGGGGAGGGGGATTTTAGGCAAGCATGGGAATGTGTGTGTGTGGTGTGTGTGCGCGCGCAAGCTTAAGTACATGCAACCTTAGAGTGTGAGTTTTGTGCCCCTATATGAACTAAACATCCCCCAAAGTTCTTCCTGGATAGCGGGTAATGATATGCTCTGAGCCAGACTCTGCCCAAGCCTGGACTCCTTCAACATTATCCTCTGAAGTCTCTGCTGTCCTCATAAATCAAAACTCGCCTGGGACTTCTGAAGCACCTCTAAACCACTGTGGCTTAAAGCTAGAATTGAAACAATAACAAAGTGGTCACCCTGTCTGTGTTTGGTAAAAAGCAGAGGGATGGGCCTGGTGAAATGTAACAACTCTAAAAAAATATATATTAACAGTGTTATGGATGCAAGGACTGACCATCCATGATATAAAAATTATAGTTGTAACCATGTGGGCACAGACATCAGTTCAATGTCTAGCTTTGATTTATATTTGGTTGAGTTGTCAACTAGTGTGAATTCAACGTGAAATCAACAACAAATGTCACCCTGTCATTGGATTAAGGTTAAAAGTTGACAAAAATACAAAATTCCCTTACATTTTGTTGTTTCAACATCATCACATTGGATTTTTTGGTTGAAATGACGTGGAAACAATGTTGATTCAACCAGTTTTTGCCCAGTGGGACAGTGTTCCTTTACATTTACATTGTTTACAATCATTGGAGTAAAACAAGCTTCTATTTTGGGTTCTGATGGGGTACGACAGTTGAACTAAGCTCATGAGGCATTTATAAGTTCTATTCTTCAAGAATCAATGGGTATATATCATTAATTTATGTCCAATAATGGATGTAGCAACTAAGGAGTCCAGCTTTAATAAGGGGACACCACAGCAATGTGAGGACCTTCAGATCTAAGGGAGGTGAACTGATCTATGGGCTAGATTATTGCACGCAGATCTTGAAGACACTCTGATCTTTATCATCTGCTAAGGCTGGGGTAAGACTTAAAAGGGACCTACGAAACCACATTGGCTTTGTGAAGACCTGCAGCAATGTGCAGAAACTACATCTGTCCAGGAGACCTCAAACAACCTCCACATGGTAATTGAGACAAGATAATGTGACTTCCACAGCTGGGAGGATTTGAACTAATACTGACAGCATTCCTAGAGACAATGAATACAAAGCCAATCAAAGCATATCACACTTACATCATATTTTGATCCTAACAATTACTTCTCTTCACCTAGACATCTAACTACAGTATTATGTTGCAAAGTAGGTACCGTCATATACAGTATGGCTTTGTTATACATTTCATTAGTTTTCGCCGACCATGAGTGAGAAAAGTTCCCCTCAAAGAAGATAGAGTATTTGGTTCTATTATATATTTTACATTATGTTATACTCTTCTATTCTAAATCAGACCACCTATGTGAAAACTTCCATATGATAGCATGAACCCTGTATATGCTATAGCCTGTCAGTACAGACAAGTTCTCACTCCGTCTGACAGGGTAGGAGATTTACTGCTGATGTGGGCTGAGAAAGTTCCTCTACGGGCATTTCAGGATCCGAGAGAGCCTATAATCAAGCTACAGGTCCATACATGAGGAGATTATAGAGAGATAGAGACATAGCGTAACTGTTGATGAGTGGCATGGGTCGGAAACCGGAGATGACTGCCATGTGCCAGAGACACAAGAGGGGATATGGTACAGAATGACAGAGGAATGACAGGAAAGGAATGTTCCCAAGGAAAAGAAAGGAATGGAAACTGCTGATGTGTTAGAGGAAAGACAGAGGCTTTTAGTTTAGGGAGTCTATGTGGAGATTGACTGGGGATGATTGCCAGACAGAGGTGGCAGGTCAACGTTGGAATGAAATTCAGTCTTTCCAAAACAATGTGCACCACATGCAGACTTTGGGACAACGACTAGGGTTGAATATTTTCCAGGTATTTTGCAAATGTTCCACTCGCTATTTCCCGCCTAAACCGGAAGTGTAATTCAAAAGCATATAAAGAATATAAATAGGCCTATGTCTGGATTTGATTAGCGCTTTGATAAAAAATTCAAGCCTGATGCTACCTGAGCCTGATGAGCCATACATTAAATACATTTGATGAGCCCTATTTTAAATACATTTGATGAACCCAAGCCCAAAAAAGCCGTTATGCCGTTATCCAATACATATATGATATACAGTATAGGCTACTGCACATTACACACAACATAAAAACATAAAAGTCCATAGATGTAGCTAGTACCCTGTAGCTCAGTTGGTAGAGCATGGCGCTGGCAACGCCAGGGTTGTGGGTTCGTTTCCCACGGGGGACCAGTATGAAAAATGTATGCACTCACTAACTGTAAGTCGCTCTGGATAAGAGCGTCTACTAAATGACTAAAATGTAATGTAAATGTAGTACCTTTCATAATATTTCCCCTAATGTTATAGCCTACCTCCTTTTCTCACTTTATTGTTGCTTCCTTCCTAGCATTCAACAGTTAAATTAAATACGTTTTGTTGTCCTTATCTTCATCATTCTAATGACATGCTTGCATAATATAGGACTAGAATTAAATGCAGATGGCTTTCACTTCTCTTCACGAAGATTGAATGGTTATGGGTCTGAATAAATGCTATAGCCTACCGCCATCGTGCATTCGCTCTTCTTTCAAACTACCCACGAGTTCTATTGGCTGCGGTATTTAACATTCAGCAAACAAGATCTTGCATCCCTCTTCGAATAATTACATTTTACATTTTAGTCATTTAGCAGACGCTCTTATCCAGAGCGACTTACAGTTAGTGAATACATATTTTTTTATAATGGCCCCCCGTGGGAATCGAACCCACAACCCTGGCGTTGCAAACGCCATGCTCTATCAACTGAGCTACATCCCTGCCGGCCATTCCCTCCCCTACCCTGGACGACGCTGGGCCAATTGTGCGCCGCCCCATGAGTCTCCCGGTCGCGGCCGGCTGCGACAGAGCCTGGATTCGAACCAGGATCTCTAGTGGCACAGTTAGCACTGCGATGCAGTGCCTTAGACCACTGCGCCACTCAGGAGTTACCAATAGAATAATCTATAGGTATAAGAAATGCAAAACAAAAAATGTCCAGCAAGCTATTCTAGTGTAGCTTTTCTTGCATGGGTCTAAGGAGCGTTTTTTTAAGGAGGCCAGCAGAAAACAGGTGCGTGCGTATTGCGCAAGAGACAGAGGCTATAAGTTAGAAGCTTATTATGCAGAACATATAATTCATTAGCTAAATATATGGCTAATACTGCATTTAATTTATTATCTGAAAGAGGTAGGCTAGGACATCTAAATACAGTGCATTCGGAAAGTATTCAGATCCCTTCACTTTTTCCATATTTTGTTATGTTACAGCCTTATTCTAAAATGGATTAAATTGTTTTTTTCCCTCATCAATGTACACACAATACCCCATAATGACAAAGCAAATACAGGTTTTTAGAAATTTTTGCAAATATCACATTTACATAAGTATTCAGACCCTTTACTCAGTACTTTGTTGAAGCACCTTTGGCAGCGATTACAGCCTCGAGTCTTCTTGGGTATGACGCTACAAGCTTGGCACACCTGTATTTGGGGAGTTTCTCCCATTCTTCTCTGCAGATCCTCTCAAGCTCTGTCAGGTTGGATGGGGAGCGTCACTGCACAGCTATTTTCAGGTCTCTCCAGAGATGTTCGATCGGGTTCAAGTCCGGGCTCTGGCTGGGCCACTCAAGGACATTCAGAGACTTGTCCCGAAGCCACTCCTGCATTGTCTTGGCTGTGTGCTTAGGGTCGTTGTCCTGTTGGAAGGTGAACCTTCGCCCCGGTCTGAGGTCCTGAGCGTTCTGAAGCAGGTTTTCATCAAGGATCTCTCTGTACTTTGCTCCGTTCATCTTTCCCTCGATCCTGACTGGTCTCCCAGTCCCTGCCGCTGAAAAACATCCCCACAGCATGATGCTGCCACCACCATTCTTCACCGTAGACATGGTATTGGCCAGGTGATGAGCGGTGCCTGGTTTCCTCCAGATGTGAAGCTTGGCATTCAGGCCAAAGAGTTCAATCTTGGTTTCATCAGACCAGAGAATCTTGTTTATCATGGTCTGAGAGTCCTTTAGGTGCCTTTTGGCAAACTCCAAGCAGGCTGTCATGTGCCTTTTACTGAGGAGTGGCTTCCGTCTGGCCACTCTACCATAAAGGCCTGATTGGTAGAGTGCTGCAGAGATGGTTGTCCTTCTGGAAGGTTCTCCCATCTCAACAGAGGAACTCCGGAGCTCTGTCAGAGTGACCATCAGGTTCTTGGTCACCTCCCTGACCAAGGCCCCTCTCCCCCGATTGCTCAGTTTGGCCGGGCGGCCAGCTCTAGGAAGAGTCTTGGTGGTTCCAAACTTCTTCCATTTAAGAATGATGGAGGCCACTGTGTTCTTGGGGAACTTCAATGGTGCAGAATTGTTTTGGTACCCTTCCCCAGATCTGTGCCTCAACAATCCTGTCTCGGAGCTCTATGGACAATTCCTTCAACCTCATGGCTTGGTTTTTGCTCTGACACGCACTGTGAACTGTGGGACCTTACATAGACAGGTGTGTGCCTTTCCAAATCATGTCCAATTGCAAACATTTCTAAAAACCTGTTTTTGCTTTGTCATTATTGGGTATTGTGTGTAGATAGATGAGGATGTATTTTTATTTAATCCATTTTAGAATAAGGCTGTAACGAAAACAAATGTAAAAAAAGTGAAGGGGTCTGAATACTTTCTGAATGCACTGTATATGCCTATATCAATCTTGAACAGGATTATCTATTTTGGAGGCAATTTGAATGGAATTGAGAAAGACTGCGAGAGAGTGCTCGTGCGTGCACTGATTTAAAGCAACATTATTCGAGTGATACACTGTTTTAAAACTACGCAGCTGCAATTAAAAACAATCTTTACAATTCAAATTACAATTAAATTACAATTCAAAAATAAGGTGACCCCCGAAAGCCAGATGGAGATGGGTAAATTAGAAGCGCATTCGGTCTTTATATTACTGTAGCATAGGCTATGCTGCAGCAAATGTAGGTCTACTTGTCACAACAACAAAGTTACCATGATGAGATGATAGGTCTGCAAGCATAGTGAACTGCGCTCCATACTGAGATGGGCTGTATTATCCTACCCTGAGTGTTGATGATTGATCATGCAGAGATGCGGAGAGAGGGCCGTAGACCCTTTTTATAATTTACCAGTTTCTCGCAGTTAATTATCCCGGGAAAAGGGAGTGGTTTTGGGCGGTAAATCTCGGTAACCGGGTTCCCGCCATTCAACCCTAACAAAGACCTTTAGTTAAACCCCCCCCCATTTTGACCTTTAGTCTATGCTCACATACATGAGCATACAAGTATGTTGAAGAATATATAACTGTAGTGCGGTCCCATACCTTTAGCTCCCTGGTGCAGCAGAGCAGATACGCTGAAGATGAAGTTATGACAGATGTCTGTGGAGGGGGTCTTCACTACGCTCTGGCTGTTCTCCAGACAGCGGTAGCGCTGGAACATGTCCCAGGCACTGTTGGTGGCCACGTCACCTCCCTCAGAACCAGTGAAGATCTCCAGGTTCTTACAGTGGGGCATCAGCACAATCTACAGACCGGGAAGAGAGATACAGAAGATGGAATGAGATTTAGTATGGAGTCAGTAAGGGCCCAATCCTAATATGAAATCCTAGTAGCTGAAATTTCTGCCTAAGTCTACAATTGACATTGATGGATATTTTAAGCAAAAGTCAGAGTTGTGACTATGTGTTTGACAGTGTGTGTGTGTGGGAACTAACCGAGTCGATGAGTGTATATGGGGACTGGACGTCGCTGAGTGCAGAGTAGAGGGGCAGGCTCAGACGAACAGTGTAGTTCATCCCTGCCTCGAAACACACTGGTCTGGGGAGCACCACATATCTGAGGAGACAAGACAAAGATGGATTTCAGAAAAGAACACACACTTTCAAATACTCCTATGACACACACACACACTAAATCAGTGTTCCCAATGTGCTACAGGGGAACCTCCAGTGTGCATACACAGACTCAGAATATACCTAATATACAGACAGAGTCCATCACTCACTCTCACATGCACCCACCAGTTACCCAACAGTCCCCCTCCCACCAACACATACACTCAGACAGAGGAGGCGGTGTGTGTTTACCGTGATCCGGGGTGGAGGGATATCATCTGGTTGTCGTCGTCAGGCATGGTGTTGGCACAGCGACTGTCTGCTGAAATCAAACTGGGCCGCATCACCGTCATCAACACCTCCTCCCACTGGTCTGGTAACTACGCCAACACAACAAGTACATAGACATTGGTAAACAGGTAAACAAGGGTAGGGAAATGACCCCATGTAGGTGGATATGTGATATGTGCCGAAGCTGACCTGAGGCTCGTAACGGATGAGGATATCGTACTCCATGGAGTGGGGGATGTTGTCAATGGAGAACTCCATGTAGGCCCCCTCGGGAACGTTGACAAAACCTATCCCTGTCCAGGTGGGGCTACGGTCCTGAGGGTGAGGTCTCTGCACTACTGTCACACCCTGGAGGAAGAAGAGAGGGAGAGGAAAATAGAGGGTGAGAAAGACAAAAGGTGAGTAGGTGTAGCGGACATAAATTTCCTATTGGTCTAAGAGTTGGTTGCTCCCGTGGGGGACCTGGGTTCATATCCCACGTGTTGCATTGGCGCCCAACGTGGGGTGGTCTCTCATGGTCACGTAATGAGGTAGTCCTGAATGCCAACTTAAAAACCAGTGTCCCTAGAAGGAATTCCCTCTTGGTCTAAGATGTTGGTTGCTCCCGTGAGAGATCCAGGTTCATATCCCGTGTGTTACATAGGAATCACCACCGACCCCATAGGCCTTAGAAGAAAGTCAATAACAAAAGTTCAAAGGTAACTCACAGGTCCAAACTTGGCGTCCTCGGCCTCGTAGGTGTAGTGGTCCAGGGCGATGAAGTAGAAGCCTGACTCCACCTGGTCACAGTGCCGGCCAAACATGTGTTCTCTACACGCACACTGGCCAGTCTCCTGAGAACAGCTGGAGTCAGAGAGAGAGGACAAGGAGGGAATGTTACAGACCGAGTTCAATTACAGTTTAAAAGATTCAACATTAAGGTAACACTCAGTTTGAAGACTTCTGTGGTTGTATCAAAAAAGAAAGTATGAAGAATTGTTTAAGTATGAAGAATTGTTTAAGTAAATTGGGTAACAGACAGGCATTTAGATAAGTGAATTAGAGAGGTGAACTTTGAACTCACTCGTTATTGAGGGCTCCACCCAGGTCACAATCACATGGTCTGCAGCCATCCATGTCATTGCTGAGCCCCCAGTGCTGAGGCTGTAGGACACACACACATTGTCAAAAACACTCCTTTAATGACACGTTGTTAATGACCTCCCCCCTATGTTTCACTGCAAAAGCTGTTTCCAAGCTGTGGACGGATGTACCAGTCTCGTTACAACCCAGAGGGTGTTTAATGTCCCAAAGATTTACAGCCTTGGTAACGACCAAACCAAACGATCAAAACACTTACAGAACGTATGTAGCAGATGTGTAACTAGCTGGCTAGTGAAGCGCTAGTGGCCATTGGTGATGATAAGTCAACTGACTCTCACAGAGTGACAGGGCTAACCTTTTGGTCTATCAGTTAGCACAGTTGAGCTTGAGTGTTGTGTACAAAGTAACTAAATCATCAGAACAGGATTCCTTACCATACACTGGTCACAGTTTCTCCCTGTGACCAGGCGTTTGCAGAAACAGTCCCCTGAGTCTGTATCACACGGACTCCCTCCAGGAACTGTCCCCAGGGCATTACAGGTGCAGGCTGGGAAAAACAACAAAGTTTAGTTATTCAAATAAAATGCCGAAATACACAGCTTGAAAAAGCCTATGCAAGGACTTGAAAAACCCAAGACGTGTGTGTGAATGTGTGTGTGAATGTGTGTGTGTGTACTTACCCAGGCAGCCCAGAGGGTGGTCACCCAGGCCATAGTGGGCCTGTTTGCACTGGTCACAGTACTCTCCCTCCACATTGGGCTTGCAGCGACACTGGCCAGCAATCAGTCCAGACGACACATCAGTCATCCTGTCACAGATCCCGCCGTTCAGAGAGCCCACCGGATCACAATTACATGCTACGAAGAGATGGGAATCATCAGGAACATTGAGTTAGGAATTCTGATGTAAAATGGGATATTGTGCATGGAACTAGTGGAGTAGAAAAGCTACAATGGTGACTAGCTAACAGGACGAAGAAATAAATGGTCAAGTCCACATTCATGGAATGGAAAGTAAGTCAAAATGAACAAGTAAAAGGAAATGGTCAAAGTCAATATCAATGTGAAGTATTTGATATGTTCCTCTTGAAGAAGGGAACATACTGTAACTTCTGAAGGTTATTTGAAAATCCCTTCAAAAATGTTCCTACATCTGCTTCAATAATTTGTGTGCTTAACTGTAGCTATCTGCAGGCTAACAAAATGACCAAACTTAAAACAAAATGGTAGAAAAAAGGCTTACAAAGTAATAATGGAAGTTCTCTCACACACCACACACACACACAAGGACTCAAAACACTGGAGACAAATGAAAACTCTAACAAGCCCATTATTCACACATCAACGCAGACTGAGATGAAGTTCTCCCTAGATGCTAATCTGAAATCAGGTATGCATCTCCTGCAGCCTGATGTCAATTTCTACCCAGAGAGCCATGAAAGGGGGGAGGTGGCATATGAGAAGGGTCTCTTCTACACCATATAGGGGTTTGGGGTTAAAGGAAGACCGCGCTGCTTTGGCTGATACAGCCTCAAAGCCCAGGTGTTCTCTCTCACATCCAGATCACAGAGGCAGGATCAAAGAGCCAGATGGGAGGAAGGGAAAATATGAAAATATATAATTCTAAAGAGAGACAGACAGAGTCACGGACGAGATGAGGATGAGTGGGGGATGGAGTAAAGTGGTGGAGAAACATACAAGGATGGAGGTAGAGTTGAAGAAACAGAGGTTCAAGAGGTGGAGGAGTAATGGGGGAGAATATAACAGGATGGATGGAGGTAGAGAGGTGAAGGCTGGGTTTGGATGGTGGGGTGTGGAGGGGAGGGGAGCCGTAGAGGGGGTTGGAATTGGAGGTTCAGGGTTCGACTTACGTTCACAGATGCTAGGGTCACGGATGTCCCTCTCTGGGTGTTGGTAGTAGAAAGGCTTGCACTGTTCACAGTTGTAACCCATGGTGTTGTGCTGGCACTCGTCACACACACCGCCGCTCACGTTACCCGTAGATACATACACTGCCATGTCGAAGTGACACAAGCCTGAGTGCTGGTTACAGTTACACTCTGCAGAGAGAGAGCGAGAGAGAGAGAGGGGGAAAACAGACAACGTTGATTCACAGTGTTTATAAAAAGGCAGTTGGATGGTTGTAAACTGACTGAGCAGACACTGCAGTCATCACAAGCGATCTATTGTAAGGTTGACCACAAGCTATAATATTCCCCTTTAGTAAAAAAATATGTTAGGGTAAAAAGGCATACTTTTACAGGCATTGGTGTTGCGTCCCTTGGCTGGTCTCCAGGGCAGGTCGTGGTAGAAGTCCTGACACTTCTCACAGTTTAGCCCCATGGTGTTGTGGTTGCACATACAGTGGCCATGGACCTTGAGAAAATCATACAGAAATGGAGGCGAGCAACTGAATTAAACATTTAGTACGCACTTATAAGCAGTGAATAAGCTATTACTTCATCTCTTATTCATGTGCATAAACTACGAACACAAATGATCTATGGATATCCACCTTAAAATGATTTCACAGGCCATATTCAGGGTTTAATAGTATAGTTCAGGGCCTTATCAACTACTGTACAGAGACCCAGGCCTCTGGTGGAACAGTGGTATTTGAGTCAACTTCCTTTGGCCATCATGGTCAATTACAGCTGAGATATCAGTGCAAAAGCAAGGGGAAACTAGAGACAAAAGGAGCAGTTGCGCAAGATATCGTTTTTTTCCTACAGCTCTATCCGTGTATTCCCATTCCAGATGGCAGCAGGACATGTTAACAGTGTCGGCTAGCTCTCATCTGGTCTGCATTAAACTGAGGGGACAAATGCCAATACGCTGACAGACAGACACACTTGGATCCGGTTAAAATGATCAAACTAACAATTCAATAATAAAACCTTCAACAAAATAACAGATACGTGCCAAGTTTGGTGTCGTTATAAAAGGCACGATGCCACTCTTATGACAGGGTTATGTAGCTTTTATGTTAGGCCTCCTCAGGCAAGGTGTTACTGTATCTTGTTAAGTCTTTAAGACGTTGTAATGTGAGGGAATCAATTTGAAAAACACTGACAGAGGAAGAGGAGAGTTTGACTCATCTAAATAGGGTTACTTTCCTCTTTCCTGGTGAATAGCCTGTATAATAAAAGTGAACAAAAGACAGAGCAGCCTTTCCGCAGACAGGCAGACAGACAGACAGACAGACAGGCAGACAGGCTGTAGCAGAGACTAAACAGGAACTGCATTGTTTGCCTTTTTCTCTCCCTGGCATACACACACATTGACACGTTGTCCGCAAATACACAAACAAAGTCGCGCAAGCACACACAGATGTAGACCCACACACTTTCACCAACACAAACAGAGTTGTTCTTAAACAGCAACAAACACACACACACACACAAACACAAAGTGCACAAACTTCCACAAATAAGGAGACCTGATGAAAACTACGACAATCTTATCAAGGAGAACTCACCATGCCCTCCACTCCATCCCCAGCCCCGTCGACGGGGGCGCACTCGGAGGCGTGTCCGTAGCAGAAGCAGTTACCCCGGACCACCATGTCGTAGACAGCGTAGTAGTACTTCTCCTTGATCTCCATGCGGGAGTCCAGCAGGTTGTCTCCCAGGGTGTGCAGCTTGGTGAACTTCACCCTCAGGTTGGTGATCTTCAACATGTCTGAATCATTCAGAAACATGTGTTAGCCGTTAGCTTGTAGATTATTAGCCTTGAGGTCATTATGCGTATAATAGTGTTTTGCAGTTTAGTTGGCTAATAGGCAACACATAGCTGGTATTTTCCAAAACATGGGAAGGATAAAAAGAACACCTTACTAGCAGATATAAACCATTAAGTACACATATCATCACTGGAACTTACTTTGGATTCTGGGGCTGTAGGGATCTTCAATACGGAAAGCTGGATCCAAAACTCGGAAGATGACCTACAGAGACAGATGGGTTTACAGTCAGTGGGATTACACTCTACTTTCAATGGCTTCTTTTCTCTCAAGACATCCAGCATATTGTGTCATATACAGTGCCTTCGGAAAGTATTCAGACCCCTTGACTTTTTCCACATTTAGTTAGGTTACAGCCTTATTCTAAAATTGATTCAATTGTTTTTTTCCCTCATCAGTCTACACACAATACCCCATAATGACAAAGCAAAAACAGGTTTTTATACATTTTTGCTAATTAATAAATAAATAAAAACTGAAATATTACATTACAAATACTACAAATATTCAGACACTTTTCTCAGTACTTTGTTGTAGCACCTTTGGCAGCGATTACAGCCTTGAGTCTTCTTGGGTATGACACTACAAGCTTGGCACACCTGTATTTGGGGAGTTTCTCCCATTCTTCTCTGCAAATCCTCTCAAGCTCTGCCAGGTTGGATGGGGAGCGTTGCTGCACAGCTATTTTCAGGTCTCTCCAGAGATGTTCGATCAGGTTTAAGGACGGCCTCTGGCTGGGCCACTCAAGGACATTCAGAGACTTGTCCCGAAGCCACTCCTGCGTTGTCTTGGCTGTGTGCTTAGGGTCGTTGTCCTGTTGGAAGGTGAACCTTCACCCAGTCTGAAAAATTCTGCCACCACCATGCTGCACTGTAGGGATGGTGCCAGGTTTCCTTCAGACGTGACGCTTGGCATTCAGGCCAAAGAGTTCAATCTTGGTTTCATCAGACCAGAGAATCTTCTTTCTCATGGTCTGAGAGTCCTTTAGGTGCCTTTTGGCAAACACCAAGCAGGCTGTCATGTGCCTTTTACTGAGGAGTGGCTTACGTCTGGCCACTCTACCATAAAGGCCTGATTGGTGGAGCGCTGCAGAGATGGTTGTCCTTCTGGAAGGTTCTCCCATCTCCACAGAGGAACTCTGGAGCTCTGTCAGCGTGACCATTGGGTTCTTGGTCACCTCCCTGACCAAGGCCCTTCTCCCCCGATTGCTCAGTTTGGCCGGGCGGCCAGTTCTAGGAATCTTGGTGGTTCTAAACTTCTTCCATTTAAGAATGATGGAGGCCACTGTGTTCTTGGGGACCTTCAATGCTGCAGAATTGTTTTGGTACCCTTCCCCAGATTCTGTCTCGGAGCCCCACAGACAATTCCTTCGACCTTTTGGCTTGGTTTTTGGTCTGACATGCACTGTCAACTGTGGGACCTTATATAGAGAGATGTGTGCCTTTCCAAATAATGTCCAATCAATTGAATTGACCAAAGGTGGACTCCAATCAAGTTGTAGAAACATCTCAAGGATGATCAAACAGGATCCACCTGAGCTCAATTTCGAGTCTCATAGCAAAGGGTCTGAATACTTATGTAAATAAGGTATTTCTGTTTTTTATTTTTAATAAATGTGCAAACATTTCAAAAACCTGTTTTTGCTTTGTCATTATTGGGTATTGTGTGTAGATTGCTGAGGATTGTTATTTATTTAATCAATTTTAGAATAAGGCTGTAATGTAACAAAATGTGGAAAAAGTCAAGGGTTCTGAATACTTTTCGAAGGCACTGTATGTGATTAGTTATTACTTAGCTACAATTAATTACTTAACATACACTGAGTGTACAAAACATTAAGAACAGCTTCCTATTATTGAGTTGCACCCCAACCCCCTCAGAACAGCCTCAATTCGTCAGGGCATGGACTCTACAAGGTGTCGAAAGCATTTCACAGGGATGCTGGCCCATGTTGACTCCGATGCTTCCCACAGTTGTGTCAAGTTGGTTGGATGTCCTTTGGGTGGTGGACCATTCGTGATACACACGGGAAAAATCCAGAAGCGTTGCAGTTCTTGACATAAACCGGTGCGCCTGGCACCTACGACCATAGCCCGTTCAAAGCCACTTAAAAATCATTCTTTAACCTGTCTCCTCCCCTTCATCTACACTGATTGAAGTGGATCTAATAAGTGACATGAATAACATTTACATTTTAGTCATTTAGCAGACGCTCCTATCCAGAGCGATTTACAGAAGCAATTAGGGTTAAGTGCCTTGCTCAAGGGCACAGCCAGAGTTTTAACCTAGTTGGCTCAGGGACTCAAACCAGAGACGTTTCAGTTACTGGCCCAACGCTCTTAACCGCTAGGCAACCTGCCGCTTTCACCTGGATTCACCTGGTCAGTCTATGTCATGGAAAGAGCAGGTGTTCTTAATGTTTTGTAAACTTAGTGTATAAACCTAACATTGAAAGAATTTAGACTCTCTCAAAACCCAGTAATTCAGAACACACACCTCTCCCTCTGTCGATGGTTCGATGTCGGAGTAATGTGAATCGCAGATGATGTCATCCACTTTCTGCATGGGCCCTGGGGATATCGCAGGGAATGCCGCCTCACAGTCGTATGCAAAGTAGCGGTACACCTGCCAGTTCTTCCCAAAGTCAGCCGAGCGCTCGATCACCATTGCAGCAGGCCGGAAGGTCTGTCGTGGAGAAGAAACCATACTTATGCACCTTGATGATATACCTTCACACTGAGGTTACTACCAGCAATTTGAACAGGAGTACATCTGGAAAATTACCAACTTTTTCTAAACTAACATCATCCGCTGTAATCAAAGATGACGTGAGTGCCAGGCGAGATATACAGGTGTGAACTTATCTAATAAAATGAGATACTATTATACCATAACTACAATGAAAGTTGAGTCATACTATGTGAACATGTTTATGTTGAAAGATCTATGGATAACAGCGGCAGATTCTGGCATGTTCCTTTACATCCTTCCTAAGCTGCTACCCATTGGGAATGTCTGTTACAATACATTTATTCATAACTGGAACTTGATCTCACATTTGTATTTCAGCTGTATTTGTCACACAGGATTGATGACACAGTTGAGTTCAATATTGGCGCTCTTACAAAAGTGCTGTTACACAGCCTAAATGAGCTGCAATTGTGAGTAAAGTGATACAGACTAGATCTGTGTGGAACGAACAACCCCAGACGGGTGGGCGGTCTGTTCCACATTCCTCAGGCTCACACACAGCTGGGGGATATATGTGTGTGGGAGACCTCCCAGGCCAAGCCTTGTGCTAATCTGCAGAGTAGACAGGCCAGCCAGCATCCCCTTACACACTACCCACGCTCCCCCACAGCGAGCCCTCTGACCCGGCATCTCCATTGGTTACCTTGAAGGTCATGATGAGGTGGGTGAAATGAAACTCCGCCTCCAAGTTCAGCTGGATGGTCACTTTCTCAAGACCTGGGGAGAGAAGGAGGAAAAGGAGACCGAGAGGAAAATAAAAAAAAGAGGTGGCCAAAAATGGAAAAGGGGAGGGAGGGAGAGATAGAGGAGGGAGAGATAGAGGAGGGAGGGAGAGATAGAGGGGCCAGGGAAGAGAATGGGTCAAAAGGCAAGTGAAGGATAGAATTGCACAAAGTGATGAAGTCAGAGAGGGTGAAATGGATAGAGAGAGGAAGGAGAGAGAGAAACAAAAAAATGAGTTTACAGGGTTCCACTTGAGCCAAGCATATCCAAATCTGGAATGGTTAACACTACACAACACTTATCCACTCTTCCCAGTGCTTCCTCTAGACCAGAACACTTGCATTAACTCTTCACCTCTCCCTCCGTAGTCTAATCATGGTTGGTTCCATTCTATGATATAAATCTCTTGGCTGCCCTTCTGATTCCTGACATCCATCTTCTTTGCCACAAAATGACACTGTGGGTTTTACGCATAACCGTTAGGCAGTTGAGCAGCAAATAACAACTTCACTGTTTCAAATGTCCCTATTTCTTTGGTAACACTAATGTTAAGTGGCTTTGTTTATTGTTTAACAAAAAGATTGATAAGAGCAAGAACAAGCCCCCACTTGTTCGAACAATGTTCAAACTTATCAACAGACTATAAGTAATGTATGCAGTACAACAACATTGGGAAACTAAGAACTAATAATGCATTTTCTAACTACGTTTTTGTACCATCTTATATTGCACCATCTTATATTGTAGAATTTAGGGAAAACCTCATCTGTGCTTATGTACGTAAGAGGGTTGTGCTTTGGTCTGGGGCCTATATGGCCAGTGTTGGAGTGGATCTAGTACGGTAATGTCTGGATTATGAATGAAAATTCCCTGCCTCTTTACCAAGGCCCATCGGTGGAGTTGGCCGCTCCACTGGTGAGTATAAACCTCTTTCCTGCTCTTCCGGATAAATATTCCCACCGCTTTTCCTCAGCCAAACATTCCCAAACTCCTATCAGAAAACTTTCTGGATCCAACATTCTTGCAGCACTTTTTGGGAGTTAACTCTTTCAAGGCAAGATGTATTTGGGATAGCAACATTCTTATTTAAAAAGGTCCAATGCAGCCGTTTTTATTTCACTATCAAATCATTTCTGGGTAGCAATTACCTTACTGTGATTGTTTTCAATTAAAATGGTCAAAAAGTTTTTAAAAAATGCTTCTTAGCAAAAAGCAATTTCTCAAGCAAGAATTTTGCTAGAACTGTATTGCAGTGATCTGAGTGAGGGACCTAATTGGAGGAGCCTAATGGGAGGGATATGTAACCTGAAAACTAGCTGTTATTTTCAGAGAGGTTTGAAACTCTCTTTGTTATTGGTCTATTAACTTATACCGCCTGGTATTATCAGAATTTTCACTGTATTATTACAACCTTATAGTGTGGAAATATATATCAAATATAGGGAAATCACGTTTTTGAATGCAAAGCCCCTTTAAGGTGCTCATGGCCTCTGAGTAATCATTAAAAGCCAAGTGCAGGCAAAAACATGTTTTTCCTGTGTTTTATATATATTTCCATACTATGAGGTTGGAATAATACTGTGAAATTGTTAAATGATGTTAATGTCCTTTTAATGTAAGAGCTGTTTGAAAAGACTGCCTGTAATTTCAGCCTGTTTTGGTGGGATGGAGTTTTGGCCTGCCTGGTGACCAAGGTTGGGGTCAATTTAATTTCAATTCCAGTCAATTCAGGAAGTACACAAAAATTCAAATTCAAATTCTCTTCAATGCTTTCCAATGAGGAAAATTTGAGCTTTGATAAGAAGCTATTTTTGTTACTTTTTGACTATTTTATTTGAAAACAATCACAGTAAGATACTTAATTGTTACCCAGAAATGATTTGATATTTTGATAAAAACTTCTGCATTGGAACTTTAACAATGCTTCAAAACTGAAAAGTAATTATGCTCACATATGACATGGTAAGAAGTAGGGTATCCAGATTTTCATTTCGTCATACTGTCCTTCTCACATCCTGGGATTTATGATATTACCAGTTTAGTACACAAGGCGGAGCCAAAAAACGTAAAAAAGCCCATTGATCGTCTATTACCAGAATGCTAACAAAATTAGCCTCAAGTAATAGCACATTTCCATGGAGGCTGCTAGCTAAATATGCTAACGAGCGCAAACGAAAATAAACAAACTGCAAGGACAGGCAATCCAGCTCATAAAGTTACACATATATAGGTAAGAGCTACCAAATGTAATTGTTGGTGAGTTTGGACCTTTACAAGCGAATGTGAACGAGAGACATTGTGCAAATGAACAAAGTTTTGATGCATTCTTGTCTGAAGGAAGAACAGTACTGGCTCTGGAGCAGCATGTGAAAACACTATTGTCACGGTCGTCTACCAAAGATGAGGACCAAGGCGCAGCGTTGCAGGCAAACATACTCATTTATTGAGCGAAACGCGAACAAAACAACAAAAGACGGAAACGTGACAGTACACGGTATAACACAACCAACTTGAAACAAGAACCCACAAAACACAAAGGAAAACCGACAGTTTAAATATGGCTCCCAATCAGAGACAACCAGCAAACAGCTGACACTCGTTGCCTCTGATTGGGAGTCACTCAGGCCAACCTAGACATAGAACAACTAGACACTCAAAACACAGCACATAAACACACGGAATCTACACACCCTGACTCAACATATAAAGTCCCCAGAGCCAGAGTGTGACAGTACCCCCCCCCAAAGGCGCGGACTGCGACCGCGCCTCAACAAAAACCCCAAACAGGGGAGGGCTGGGTGGGCATTCCTCCTCGGAGGCGGCTCCGGCTCCGGGCTTGACCACCACCCCTCCATAATCCTCCCGTAGCGCCCCTGGTCCGGTCTGACCCCGCTGACTGGATCAGGACTGGACATCGACGGAGCGGATTGCTTAAGCTCCGTTGTGGAGCAGCTGACCAGTACCTGATCAGGCACCGGACTGACGACGCGCACCCCTGGCTTGGCGCGTGAGGCAGGAACGGACCGGACCTGGCTGGCGATGCGCACCCCAGGCTTGATGCGTGGAGCCGGAACGGGCCTCACCGGACTGACGACGCACACCACTGGCCTGGTGTGGAGCGCAGGAGCGGGCCGGACAGGGCTGACGAAACGCACCACAGACTTGGTGCGGGGAGCAGGAATGGGCCGGACTGGGCTGGCGAAACGCACCACAGACTTTGTGCGGGGAGCAGGAACAGGCCGGACAGGGCTGACGAAGCGCACCATAGGCTCGGTGCGGGGAGCAGGAACAGGCCGGGCCGGGCTGACGACACGCACCACAGGCTCGATGCGAGGAACAGGAACAGGCCGGACCGTACTGGGGACACACACCACTGGCTCTACGCAGGGATCAGGAACGGGCCGGAACGGACTGGTAACACACCCCAGTACCTCTCGCCGTGCCTCCACATTTTCCCTCTCCTCTGTGACCAGTGGCCCCCTTAACCTGGCGGCCTCCTCTGCACACCCGCTGGACCGCTCCATCGCGGCCTCTTGCTGCCCCGTCGTCCACGTCGTGAGCCCCCCCCTAAAAATTTTCTGGGGTTCTCTCCTCCCTGTGGGCCAGGCCTCTATATTTCTCGCCCAACTCTCACTCCTCTGCTTCCAACTCCCGCTATTCAGCTCCTCAATGGGCTTGACCCAGTCGAGGCTCTTCCTCCATTGTTCCCACGTCCACTCTCTCTGCTCCTCCCTCGGCTTGACCCAGTCGAGGCTGCCACGGAGATCTGCTAGGGATCTCCCTGGCGATGGCTCCTCGACTCGCTGCTTGGTCCAGTTTTGGTGGGTTCTTCTGTCACGGTCGTCTACCAAAGATGAGGACCAAGGCGCAGCGTTGCAGGCAAACATACTCATTTATTGAGCGAAACGCGAACAAAACAACAAAAGACGGAAACGTGACAGTACACGGTATAACACAACCAACTTGAAACAAGAACCCACAAAACACAAAGGAAAACCGACAGTTTAAATATGGCTCCCAATCAGAGACAACCAGCAAACAGCTGACATTCGTTGCCTCTGATTGGGAGTCACTCAGGCCAACCTAGACATAGAACAACTAGACACTCAAAACACAGCACATAAACACACGGAATCTACACACCCTGACTCAACATATAAAGTCCCCAGAGCCAGAGTGTGACAACTATGTCTGGAGTCACTAGGGCAAAGGGCCTGCCTGCTCTGCTCAGGCAGACGAGCCGAGAACGGAGAGGAGAAATAACACAAGGGAATCAAGACAGCAGTGCCAGCTGTACAGATAACTCATCCAAAGGGCTTTGACTTCTCAAACACGGCAGAAAGCTCAAACTATATGATGCCCCGTCACCTTATTAATTCAGCCACTAACTTAGATAACTAGCAAGTCATATGATGATAATTATGATATTTTCTGCCTAATGTGTTGCACTAGTGTATTGTCTGTGAAGGAAAACTATTCTTGCATGCCCCTGATTAAACACTGTTGACTTTCAATATAAATCACAACCCGTCCGCTGGACTCACCCGTTGTGCTATTCACAAACAAACACGTGACTGGCTCAACTGTTCTGGGGAACTACGGTAAGCTTCATAATGAAATGATCAACGCGATCTGCTTTATCTCCTAATGTATTGCACAAGTTGACTGCAGGTATTTACTTCAAAGGTAGCTACAAATATTGAAATGTTTTGAAAAACTAATATAGTTTCAACTGTAATGTATATATACGGTATACCGCCCAAGCCTAGTAAGAAGTGAGAACTGCCTTATTAACATCCATTACATGGTGTACACGGGGTGTCATCCAACGGCCACCTAGGTAATCATTCCCAATGGGTTCATCCTGTTATTACAAAGTCATAATCTAAGTCAGCCATTACTGCTTTCTCTTTGAAGTCTTCCCTCACATTGATTAAAGGGGTTAGCTAAGGGATTGGAGGGTGAAAATATGCCAAGATGCGGGAGTGGGAGAGAGTCACCTTTAATTGAACTCCCCTGCTTACTAGCCCTCCACCTTTTTTCCCCACGAGAACTCACCATTCTCTGACTGCCACCAGGTTTTCAAGCGGTTGGGGGCGAATGTGGTCACGACGTTCTCCACCCGGTGGCCGGTGGTGGTGTCCACCATGCTTTTGACGTAGACGTCGGTGGAGTCACACAAAAAGCATTTCTTCTCATCCTGAAGAGACCGTGGGGATTGGGAGAAAGAGAGAAAGATGAAAATGTCAGTGTGATTCTTGGGATACCAAGCAGATTTCTCCCAATCAGGGGGACAGATAAGGAACATCTTTGAAAAGCCCATTCATACAGAAGTGAATGAAAATGGGTTATTTTATCAAGAGTAGGTATAGATGCTGAAATTAGTGATTGCGCCAAATAGGCCCTTAACTACTTTAAAATTAGTAGCCTATCTTGCCCTGGTCTCATCAGCGAATGCTTATCTGAGGCTGCTGACAGTGTAGGCTTCATTTGGCCACCAGATGTTCAGAAGACACACATTGTGTGGTGGTTGTGTGTGTGTGTGTGCTTGTGAATGTGTACACACGCTTAAGGGTTCAAATTCAGCACCATCTGAATTTCTTTCCAGCGTCTTTTCACCACTTCCCTTCAAAATAAACAACTTTACAATATTCTAAACCTTCTATACATCCAGACCATGAAACAGTGTGCCCACAGCCACACACTAGAATTTAAAATTACAGTACATATAGATAAGAAATGTAACCACCACCCTCTCTAGGACCCAGTTGGATCACAATCTGGTCTCTCTGCTTTATTGGTGACATAAATTAAATACATTTTATTACATTAGATTTCAATCTTAAAACTTTTGCATGCTCAGGACATACCATACTTTAAATAGATGCTCAACACATTATGAAAGTATTCACAAGTAGTACATTGGATATAGGAGGATACAATACAGACCGATGCGGGTTTAATCTACAAAGCTGATAAAATAGGATGATTTCTCAAACAAGGTATGGTCTGTCTTTTTATGTAAGGGAGAACAAAAGTCTTTGATGGTGGCTTCTCAAGTGTCCAAGAGCTTTGACTACAAAGACGGGTGTTTGAGAGTTTAGATATCTCTAGCCGTGGAATGTCTGTGTAAGTAAGCTACAATGAGCCCCCATGCGTCCAAGCTGCTGGCACAGCCACTTTCAAAACTATTTTGTTGGTCGGAACCTCAATAATGCTTCTAGTGTGGTTGTGTGACTGAGCCAGGAAGTGGTCTAGACAACTCAGAGGGTTGTGCGACTCCCAAACCAATCCTTCCCAAATCCCAAACATCTCTCCCACTCCTACGCTCACATTGAGAAAGCAGGAGTTTTAAAAAAACATATCTGAAAGGAAGTATTGAAAATAAAAGCAAAAGGGATATTTGGAATATATACAATTTATATATTCCACCCCCAACAGACAAGGGATTGACTGTAAACCTTACAGTGATTATTATAAAATCTGAATGCCAAATTGACCACGGCAAGAGCATTTTAATTTTTAGAATGAATTTATTCTCCATTAAATAAATAGGGGAGCTTTTCTTACTGAGAAAATGAAACAATGTTATAATTTAATGTGTGATGCTGTAATTACCCACTGGGCACAAACTAGTTGAATCAACATTGTTTCAATGTAATTTGTATTGTGACATGGAATCTACGTGGAAAATACATTGAAGGTGAAATTTCAACCACAGGATTATGCCATCATGGTAACCAATTTTCAACATAGACAATACTTGTATAAAATATGTGGAATCTGTACCTTTAAAACAATTTCAGATCTTCAATGCTATATCCACTATCAGAAAAAAAATACTATAGGCTGTACAGCACCTCCTACTGGAGAGTTGATCTATCTACAGCTATCCATTTGGTCTCCCATCCAGGGTTTTAACCAAGCCCAGCCCTGCTTAGCTTTGGGATTTGTCACTGACTACAACCAACGTGATAGCGTGAGAATGATTTTTGAAAGATCTCTTAATACTAAATAGATTCACTGTTGCTATCAAAGTCATTCCAAAGGGTAGGTTTAACAGAGCAAATGAAATGTAACCAAACTTTATATGTCATACAGTATATCATCAATGATATTATTTAAGCCTCCCAAACCAATCCTTCCCGAATCCCAAACATCTCTCCCACTCCTACGCTCACATTGAGAAAGCAGGAGTTTAAAAAAAAACATATCTGAAAGGAAGTATTGAAAATAAAAGCAAAAGGGATATTTGGAATATATACAATTGATATATTCCACCCCCAACAGACAAGGGATTTGCAATGTCATCAACAGCTATTGTTTCAATTAAACCCAGGAGTTCAAATAAAAATTGACAATACATATAGGCCTCGGGTTTCAAGCTTTGATTGATTTAAAATGTAATCTTCAAGTTAATAATTAATATGTTGGATTCATGTTTCCATCGCAACCAAAAATCTAAGTTAAAGAATAGGACTAAATCAAATCAAACTTTATTTAAAAGTGCATTTAAGGTTTGATTTGGTCCTATTCATTCAACATATCAATTATACATTTGTAGACAAACTGGATATTGAATTGTGTTTGGTTGTCAGCGCAACCAAATATCAACATTTGAAGGACATGTAGGCTATCTTTTGCTTGGGCAGCTCTATCGGTGCCACTGACTTTAATTCCAGTTTGGCTTTAATTCCAGTTTGTCTACAAATTAATAATTGATATGTTGGATTCATGTCTTCATCTCAACCAAAGATCTAAGTTAATGAATATAAGCCAGTGGCTCAGATGAAACTATTCAAGCATTGGATTCCTCTCCTTTAAATGTTGATATTTGGTTGCGTTTTCAACCAAACACAATTCAATATTACTTTTGTAATACAGTAAATAGCCTAATGTTAAGGCTATCTTACAAACTAATATAACAGTATTTATTCAACCTTAAAATAAGTAACACATCCATGGCCACATTTTGAGGTTACTGTAAATGTCTTATGTAATCATATAAAGTGTGCATGTTCAAGATAGCATGCAAAGGTCGCAGGTCTGTTGAGATCTTCACAATTGCTATTTTAGTATGCGCAGAATCTCGAACAGCCCTGATAACTTGCACTATGTACTTTTAATGTAATCTCAACTGCAATCCAGGTCATTTGGTTGTGCTATTGGATAAAGCACAGTGATAACACATTAAGTTGTTGCACACAGTCCATTCGGAAAGTATTCAGACCCCTTCACTTTTTCTACATTTTGTTACGTTACAGCCTTATTCTAAATGTCCTCATCAATCTACACCCAATACCCCATAATGACAAAGTGAAAACTGGTTTTTAGAAATGTATGCAAATTTATTAAAAATAAAAACATAAGTATTCAGACCCTTTGCTATGAGACTCGAAATTGAACTCAGGTGCATCCTGTTTCCATTGATCATCCTTGAGATGTTTCTACAACTCGATTGGAGTCCACCTGTGGTAAATTCAATTGATTGGACATGATTCGGAAAGGCACACACCTCTCTATATAAGGTCCCACAGTTTACAGTGCATGTCAGAGTAAAAACCAAGCCATGAGGTCGAAGGAATTGTCCGTAGAGCTCCGAGACAGGATTGTGTCGAGGCACAGATCTGGGGAATGGTACCAAAAAATATCTGCAGCATTGAAGGTCCCCAAGAACACAGTGGCCTCCATCATTCTTAAATGGAAGAAGTTTGGAACCACCAAGACTCTTCCTAGAGCTGGCCGCCCGGCAAAACTGAGCAATCAGGGGAGAGAGGCCTTGGTCAGGGCGGTGACCAAGAACCTGATGGTTCTTCTGTGGAGATGGGCAAATCTTCCAGAAGGACAACCATCTCTGCAGCACTCCACCAATCCGGCCTTTATGGTAGAATGGCCAGACGGAAGCCACTCCTCATGAAAAACCACATGACAGCACGCTTGAAGTTTGCCAAAAGGCACCTAAAGGACTCTCAGACCATGAGAAACAAGATTCTCTGGTCTGATGAAACCAAGATTGAACACTTTGGCCTGAATTCCAAGCGTCACGTCTGGAAGAAACCTGGCACCATCCCTACAGTGGTGCCAGTGAAGCATGGTGGTGGCAGTAACATGCTGTGGGGATGTTTTTCAGCGGCAGGGACTGGGAGACTAGTCAGGATTGAGGGAAAGATGAACGGAGAAAAGTACAGAGAGATCCTCAATGTAAACCTGCTCCAGAGCGCTCGGGACCTCAGACTGGGGCGTTGGTTCACCTTCCAACAGGACAACGACCCTAAGCACACAGCCAAGACAACGCAGGAGTGGCTTCGGAACAAGTCTCCGAATGTCCTTGAGTGTCCAGCCAGAGCCCGGACTTGAACCCGATCGAACATCTCTGGAGCGTCATACCCAAGAAGACTCGAGGCATTATGGGGTATTGTGTGTAGATTGATGAGGAAAAAAACAATTTAATCAATTTTAGAATAAGGCCGTAACGTAACTAAATGTGGAAAAAGTGAAGGGGTCTGAATACTTTCCGAATGCACTGTAAATACCAAATATCTGACATTGCATTCCCATTTGAACTTTGTTGTGCTTTTAAAAGTTTGAAATCGCAGTGAGAACACATTTAGATGACAACTAAACCAAAGATCAGACATTGTTTTTCCATTGGAATTTGGTTGTGCTTTTAGATTGTTGAAAGCATAGTGATAACACTTTGGGAATTCAACAAACTTTTGGCTGTCTTTTTGAGTGGGTGAACAAAGGTTGAAATCTCATTGATCAACGTCTAAAACAAATATTACCCAAATGTCCACACTGAAATGACGTGGTGTGCCCAGTGGGTAATGTTTAATTATGAGTTAACCACAAGCCTATTTTGTGCCTTTTTGCACTTTGTTTCTTTTTTAATTGGTAGCCCAGACTAATTCCCCCTCCAGGCAGGCAAGACAATTAATGTAGCACTATTTTACTCTCATCACTAATTTTCAAAAGGTAGGCTGTCAAAACTATCTTTCCCATTCACAAGAGTAAACTCCCCCGGATTAGCAATTCCAAGAACGCTTAATATGTATCCTATCTATGTATTGCTTATCTCCAGTGGTGTAGTGTATGGTATACGCAGTTGGCATTGAGTATACTCACTTCTTAATCCCCACGATGCATATCAAAGTAGTGTAGTGGAGGTATAGGCCATATTAATTGATAAGGCTGATGGAACAGATCAGAATGTTTAGCTTAACATGGTGATAAACTATTATGTTTTCAGTAAAGTGCACACGGCGGTAGGCCTACATGTGAATGTTCCAAAATGCAATTTGTGGGAAAACATTGTTCTAAAATGCATACTGCACATGCGAGCGGTTCCATGGACAGAGATGGAAATATCCGTTAGAAATTTAGGAAGAGGAGAGATCTAAAGATGCAACAACTATAATGGGTTGCTAATATGACTAGGATAATGCCTTTAGCTGCTAGACAATGAAAGAAAGTTGATTTGAAAACCAATAGAATAGGAGAGTGCATATGATGTTTCTATGGTGGGATCTTGGCTACGCTACTTTGAAGCAAGGTAAGAAATGCCTCATAATATGAACTAAAATGTCCATGTTTCAAACAATCAACGAACAGGAAAAATATAGCGATGATAATGATAGACCTAACCATCTTCTGGTAGATGGAAAGGCTTTGTCAAAAATCTTCTCAATTAAATGTTAACTAGCTACAAAGTAGCCTATGACTACCTGGCAGAATGATATCATGATTATTTGCATCAATCCAGTGGCCATTTGTTTAGCAAACTCCATCTCTTGCACTACAGAAACAAGCGAACCAAACAACAGTGCTAGGTGCCTGCACACTTGAATTAAAGGTTAACTAAACCATTTTTTTTAAATTATTTGATTTTTCTCAGATCTCAAAAGTGGTCCCCTGATGTGGTTTAAGCATTGCAGTGGACTTAGAACATCCAATGTTGTTGTTTTTCTATTCAAAAGTGAGACTGAGAGCGATAACCTAATACAATGCATCTGAAACCTGTGAATTCGCTACTACAGGCATGAATGGGAGACACCACAAATCAGAGAGCTTGCTTATGACGAATATCGGTAGCTACTAGCCAGGCTAACTTTAACGCACTGGTGCCACTGTAACAATAACGGAGCCTTTTGATAACAGCACCACCGTGAGTCTTATTGTATTAGGTTTTTACAGTGGCCAACTTGTCATAACAATATTAGTATGATTAAAAGCCTAGAGTTAATGAAGACTATAGGCCTATAATAACATATTGGGCCTAGTTCAAATGCGGTATTTATTGTGCCAGGCGCATTTACCTGTAAATGACTGACGATACAGAACTGTTCGGGCCGGTGAAGGCCGCATGTGGAGTTGGTGGAGAGTTGGTGGGCTCTGCCAATGAGAAGGTCTCCCGTAGCCGGGTAGCAGCTCCCCTCAGTGCATACATCGCTGAACTCGGGTATGCCTACCTGGGCAAGGACGCACGCCCCTGCGGCTAGGCAAAGAGGATGCAGATTTAAAGAACGGAATTTATTCAGGGCAGGTTGTTTTTTTAAACACAAGCCTATGAGCCTTTGATTTAGGCTATATTAATGTCGCATGCCTAAGTTCTTTAATTGACTCGTGCTGAGTTTATAACAAGAACAAGATGGTTCACAGTAAAACAAAAAGCCAAACTACTTCAAAGTAACATGAATCAAATTATGAAACGTTTACTATTCAAACCTTATAAGAACTAATGTCCCTATGGGAATATACAGTATTTTATTAATTACTTGCAAGGTTATGTTCTTTCAGTTGACTCAATGTTGGCCATGCGTTCTACAGAATTTAAAAATATATATATATGTAAAAAATGTAAATAAAAAACTTACATAGCATGGTCGCAATTTGAAATATCAACATTTTTGTTGGTATTTCCACCTCTTCTCTTCTGTTGCGAGTACTCTCAGTGGGACTGTGTGTGGTTCCTTATAGTAGTGGTTTGCGCCCCACCCTTTTTCTTGTCGCGCTACCGCACTGCTCTACTCAACTTGCCACAAGACTGAGCTAACTCCTCAAGCATGCGCACAGGGTGTAACTAGACCTCCCCCTATTCGATAATTCAATTAAAGTCAATAAAGTAAAAACCACCAAGGTCCAAGTGCTCATCAACTTGTAATATATGTTTAACTACCAATTCCATAAGAGTTAAATCATTAGGCCTACCTGTGGGCTTATCTCAAATGTGACAGATTATTTGGAGCAGAAGGATCATGTTGACAGCATCTCACTCTGCACACATTGAGAGAACTTTCAAAACACACACACACACATCTTATGTGATTGTAAAATGGTCCTCTCTCAGATACCACCCCCACCCACTTATACCTACCTACTCATCTAGAACAAAGGACATTCCTCCACCAAGGCAGGAAGCTACCCAATGTCCCTAGGCACAGGTAAACCAGGGGTACATCTAGGTACTGAAGCCATGCTACTAATTTATTGTACTAAAGGGAAATTAGGTAAAGAGAGCCTTGAACAGTGATTTTCCCTCCACCAAGCGGAAATCAAAAGCATGTACCACCACTTATTACCCTGTTATTGGAGCTATCCATTGAATTTCAAATTGTAGCGTTTTTCCTTGCAACTTTCCTGTACAGTTGTTGGTAATGACAGATTAGCACCAAAGACTGAACTATCACCTACAGTGAATAACCTACCACCGTAATTATATGACACAGTGTGTGGCAGCACAAGCTCAGATAGCTGGAGAAGAAACAGGCCGGATGTCCTAATTCAATTATCTGTGAGAAGACAGAGGGGGACTGTGGGAACAGATTCAATAAGATTTTTGAGTCAGAGAAACTAGACCATGTTCACATCCACTGAGCATATTAAAGAAAGAAAGAAAGAAAGAACTGATTGACCCCATCACATGCCTTTGAAGACATACTTGTAGTATTGTTGAACCATTCCTTGTTTTACTGCTGAAAATAACAAAGGTGTATGCTACCTCAAGGGACAAGCGACTAGTCTTGAAAAGGGGCCTCAGTTGCAAAAATAAATGTAGGCCTTCGTTAAATTAGGCTAATATAGTGATCTCAATCTCTCATTCTGAACGAATTCCTAATAATCCATGGTAAGAAATACCACTGACAGGTTAAACATACCACAATCTGTCCATTCAAGAACAGACAAACGCAACCAAAAACCTCAAAGGTTTAAAAGGTTCTCAAATAACTATCTCCCTCTTCTGTAATTAGCTGCATCACACAAACCAGTGGCAACCTTTAATTAGGCAGAGCAATCAGTGGTCTGTGAATTCCTCCCGTCTAAAAACACAACCATGGGGCAGCGAGGGGATTCAGACCCCAGTCTGTGACACATTCTTGGGGGTGAGTGGACTAACTGTGCCCTGGGGGGAATGGGATGGAACTCACCAGTCACTAGGATTTGAGCAAACAATAGCCCTAGCAATTGTTCACACGCCTTCTGTCCATGTCCACACATTTACTTTGATGAAAAGCCATCTATCTTCTACCTGTGAGGTACCCGGTTTTATTTCATACCCACATTCTAAAACTTCATTGACTTTTGGGAGAAAAGTATAATTCAATGCTACTATGTAAATACTGTAGGCTGGCTCTAGATCTGTTTATGCTTTATTAGCCAACACCTCTCTGTCGTGTTATTAGTCTGCCAGTCAGACGAGTGGCTAAAGCATTCAGTGGGGGGGGAAAGTATTTAGTCAGCCACCAATTGTGCAAGTTCTCCCACTTAAAAAGATGAGAGAGGCCTATACTTTTCATCATAGGTACACGTCAACTATGACAGACAAAATCAGAAAGAAAATACAGAAAATCACATTGTAGGATTTTTAATGAATTTATTTGCAAATTATGGTGGAAAATAAGAATTTGGTCAATAACAAAAGTTTCTCAATACTTTGTTATATACACTTTGTTGGCAATGACGCAGGTCAAACGTTTTCTGTAAGTCTTCACAAGGTTTTCACACACTGTTGCTGGTATTTTGGCCCATTCCTCCATGCAGATCTCCTCTAGAGCAGTGATGTTTTGGGGCTGTCGCTGGGCAACACGGACTTTCAACTCCCTCCAAAGATTTTCTATGGGGTTGAGATCTGGAGACTGGCTAGGCCACTCCAGGACCTTGAAATGCTTCTTACGAAGCCACTCCTTCGTTGCCCGGAGCAGTGTGTTTGGGATCATTGTCATGCTGAAAGACCCAGCCACGTTTCATTGCTGATGGAAGGAGGTTTTCACTCAAAATCTCACGATACATGGCCCCATTCATTCTTTCCTTTACACGGATCAGTCGTCCTGGTCCCTTTGCAGAAAAACAGCCCCAAAGCATGATGTTTCCACCCCCATGCTTCACAGTAGGTATGGTGTTCTTTGGATGCAACTCAGCATTCTTTGTCCTCCAAACATGACGAGTTGAGTTTTTACCAAAAAGTTCTATTTTGGTTTCATCTGACCATATGACATTCTCCCAATCCTCTTCTGGATCATCCAAATGCACTCTAGCAAACTTCAGACGGGCCTGGACATGTACTGGCTTAAGCAGGGGGACACGTCTGGCACTGCAGGATTTGAGTCCCTGGCGGCGTAGTGTGTTACTGATGGTAGGCTTTGTTACTTTGGTCCCAGCTCTCTGCAGGTCATTCACTAGGTCCCCCCGTGTGGTTCTGGAATTTTTGCTCACCGTTCTTGTGATCATTTTGACCCCACGGGGTGAGATCTTGCGTGGAGCCCCAGATCGAGGGAGATTATCAGTGGTCTTGTATGTCTTCCATTTCCTAATAATTGCTCCCACAGTTGATTTCTTCAAACCAAGCTGCTTACCTATTGCAGATTCAGTCTTCCCAGCCTGGTTGTGGACAGGTGTCTTTTATACTGATAACAAGTTCAAACAGGTGCCATTAATACAGGTAACGAGTGGAGGACAGAGGAGCCTCTTAAAGAAGAAGTTACAGGTCTGTGAGAGCCAGAAATCTTGCTTGTTTGTAGGTGACCAAATACTTATTTCCCACCATAATTTGCAAATAAATTCATTAAAAACCCTACAATGTGATTTTCTGGAATTCTTTTTCTAATTTTGTCTGTCATAGTTGACGTGTACCTATGATGAAAATTACAGGCCTCTCATCTTTTTAAGTGGGAGAACTTGCACAATTGGTGGCTGACTAAATACTTTTTTCCCCCACTGTAGACAGATCTAGAACCTGGCAATAAAGGCTGCTAACTCAGTTCAATTGTATACAGCACAATGTCTTACTGAAGCAAAACAAACATGGCACTTAACCATTAACAGCTGGATGGAAATTACATTAGTAGTAAGTGGTGTGTTCTCCTCACCACAAAACATGGTCAATGAGATGGAAAAAGGTAGAGAGAGATAAATAAGTAGAGAGGGTAAAAGAGGTAGAGAGAGAGAGAAAGAGAGGTAGAGAAAGTAAAAGCAAGGGGGGGGGGGGGGTCTGAAAGTGTGTGCGGGAGCTTAATGTACGCTCTTGTTGGCTGGTCCTCACTACATATTCATCGCCAAACCCACTGGCTCCAGGTCATCTATAAATCACTGCTAGGCAAATCCCTGTCTTATTTTAGCTCATTGGTCACCATAGCAACCCCCACCCGTAGTATTCGCTCCAGCAGGTATATCTCACTGGTCATCCCCAAAGCCAACACCTCCTTTGGCCGCCATTCCTTCCAGTTCTTTGCTGCCAATGACTGGAACGAACTGCAAAAATCTCTGAAGCTGGAGACTCTTATCTCCCTCACTAACTTTAAGCATCAGTTATCAGAGCACTTTACCGATCACTGCACCTGTACACGGCACATCAGAATTTAGCCCACCCAACTACCTCATCCCCATATTGTTATTTATTTTGCTCATTAGCAAATATCTCTATTTGCACATCATCTCTTGCACCTCTATCATTCCAGTGTTAATACTAAATTGTAATTATTTTGCACTATGGCCTATTTATTGCCTTACCTCCATAACTTGCTACATTTGCACACACTGTATATATATTTTCTGTTGTATTTTTGACTTTATGTTTTGTTTTACCCCATATGTAACTCTGTGTTGTTGTTTTTATCGCACTGCTTTGTTTTATCTTGGCCAGGTCGCAGTTGTAAATGAGAACTTGTTCTCAACTGGCTTACCTGGTTAAATAAAGGTTAAATAAAAATAAAATGCAACTGACATCTAGGATTTTACACTTCAATTACAAAATGGACAATGTACATTTAATGCCGACCTGTACAAAAGGCAAGAGAGAGTGAACATTCCGGGGCCAGAGTAATGACAAATGGATGCATTCCAAACCCAGCTGGGACCCATTCCAAACCTAATAGTGTGTTGAATCTCATCACCTCCAGCTAGGCTGGGGGCACCATCGTTTCAGGACAATAACAAGCTCACGAAATACCAGTCAAATCTTACAAAGAGATCTACTTCCACCAAAGACCAGGGTACAAACTGGAAAATAATTGGGGAAAATTTAGAGGTAGAATAGCATAAAAACCTGAAAAAGGTCAGCAAGAAAGCTTTCCCCCTTTTTTTCACATTAGACCATTTAAGCAGTAGGTCAGGTTGAAACATAATAATACATATCACAAGACAGTAAAGAATGCGCATACAAGAGGCTTCTTTCTCAACTCAGTTTTATGATCACCAAACGCCTCCATGTGGCGGTTTAGGAGAACTACACTCAAATTCAGTCGCAAAACTCGAGCTAAAGCAGAAAGGGAAGGGAAGTTCCCTGTCTAGCTGCAATAAACAGTATGTAAGGACATTCATTTGACACAATACATCCTCCAACCTGAGAGAACCCATATTTGATATTGCATCAGAATAGGACCAGGTTCCAGAATCAGACCCTTTTGAGCATGTCTTCAATAAGTGAAGTCAAATAAAGAGAAGAAGCTAAATAAAAGTTAAATATGTAAAATAATACATATCAATGCCATTCCGCACACTCAAGATAAGATCATTATTATAGCAATTCGCTTATTGGACTACTCCTGGTCATGGTTTGGGGTCAATTCCATTACCCATATCTTTCATTGAGAAATTTCAGTATGCATGAATATAATTTCAATCTCTTGAAATGACAGAGTTGACAGCAAAATCATTACACAGGTATTATAGAAAGTTGTCAGTGCTGCCTATGTCACCTGTAATGACATGCTTATAAAGTCGGCATTATAATAATTGCTCGAAGTCTGTGACCCTGTATATCCCCTTGAAGATAGAACCCTGAATCATCTCTTGATCCACCTGGGGTCTTAGGAGGTACAGTTAATGTACCCATCCACACGCGCAGCAATCTCCTTTTGGAGGGCTTCTACCGTCTCCAGCAACATGGCAACCTCCTTGGCCTTGTCCTCTTTGTTTCTGATTAAGTCTTGGATCTTTTTCTCCAAGTCTGAAGCAACAAAGAGAAAATGAAGACCATGATTAGTGGATTCTTTGAAATGGGTGTGTTCCTGCTGATGTGGAACAAAAGCCTGCACACCTAGTGGCTCTCCAGGATATGAGTTGGATAGCTCTGTTTTAAAGTCCTGAGACTTACCGTCAATTTGTTGAATTTGATCTTGAACGTATTTTGCGATTTTCTCTGCCTCCATAGTAATGTTCTTCAGGCGTTCGTTGGCCACTTCATTATTGCCCTGGTTTATGTTTCCATTCTTTAGCTTATCAAACAGCACATTCACCTTGTCAAGCCCCTGGCAAATAAGTCATAGAAAAACAAAACCCCATACCTATTTAGGATTATACTCACAGTATCATGACATAGTACCAAAGTGGTAAGTGAGTAGTGGTAATTAAGTGGACACAACGTACCTTCTCTGCGTCAGTAGCGGTACCTAGGGCTGCATCTGCATCAGCTTTGGCCTGTTCCGCCTGCTCTCTGTTCATCTCTGTCTTGTTCTTCAGAGCCTCAATCTCCTCCAGCATCTCTGGAGTTCTAGTAGAGTTCAAGTTAGTCTCTATGTTGTTCAGTTTCTTCTCAATCTGAGGGCCATGACAAATACATCAAGTTATGAGAAAGAACATTCTTTCTTCTGCGAGATGAAGAGGTGGAGAGTCTGATGGATGTTTAGACTAATACAAATACGCACAAGCAGGAATGGGTAGAGGGACAGAGACACAGAGAGAGAGCGAGAGAGAGTTTGAAGGTGTTAAGAGAGAATTACCTCTTTAATCATCTGGTCCGCCATGCCATTGCTTTCCTTAGCCTTCTCCAGGTCTTGCTCAACCTTGTCCTGTGTATTCTCAGTGTCCGCCATGGTTTTCTTGATATCCGTAACATCAATACCCTTGGTTCTGTCCCTAACACATTGACAACCATGGTACAAATATGGTCATTTAGCATGCTGGTTTATACAAAGTGACAGCTACGCATATAAAACATATGGTACTGGCTAACCTGATATCTTGAGCTTTCTCCAGCAGGTCCTGGGCTGTCTTGGCTTGGTCCTTCAGTTTTTTCAGATCGTCCTTGAACTCAGTGAAGTTGGTCAGCACGCCCCGGATGTTCTGGATCATGGAGCGGATGTCGTCCGGAGAGCCCGGCAGCTGGAAGGCCAGAACAGCATTGACCAAATTCTCTATGTCCTCTGGTGCCACCATATCATCTGTTAGCAGAGAAGTCAGCCACACAAGTCAAGTCAACAAATCACGTTTTTAAGGGATCTTTACATGGACATTTCAAGCTTATATCCAGCCGACCTGTGAGGTAGTCTTTGACCCTATTGATGAGGTCCTTGGTGTCGTTCTTCTCCCTGTTAAACTTCTTCTTGCTGTCAGTGATCTTCTTCTGTAGCTTCTCTGCCTGCTCATGGGTGCCTTGGGTCATCTGTTTGGCCTCATCGATCTGAACAGGATAAATTGAGACTTGTGTCATACACTCTTTCATTTGAAAGCAAAAATAAAGTAATACATCTGTAGAGTTTTCCTTGGGAACATGCCTTGATCTTGGAGTCCCCTAGTTTTTGGAGCAGGTCGATAAGGTCATTCTCTACTTGCTCAGCTGTTTCTGTGGCGTTGTGGCTCACAGGGACGCTGCCCTTGCATGTAGGACCCCCACATTCTCTCTGTCCCAGGAAGTCTCGACACAGCGCACCCCCACACTCTGATTTAGAGCATTCCTCATCGCCTGGCGCTCCACAGATCTAGGAGGAGCCAAAGAGTGTAACATGGTTTATATCCGAATATTTCCATGGCTGACTACCAACATGGTGCTGGCGACAATTGAAACAGACTGCCATTCACGCTAACACATCACTCTTTTGATGCATGCAGTGCAAGCACTACTATAAGGGACACTCACGTTTTTGTTGAGTTTGGCCACACTCAGAGCCTTGACATTCTTCTCCAGCACCTCCATGTCTCCCAAGATGATGCAGCTGGACAGATGGTCTTTGACCTCCTGCCGTGTGTCCATGGAGTTCTCCAGGGCCCTCTCGGCATCCTTCACCTTCTTCTCTTCAGCCATGAAGTCTGCATGCAGCTTCCGGATCTTCTCCAGGGCCTCTGGATCAGCATCAAAATAAAAGTCCACACAAGTCAGAAACACACTTTACATTTGATCAATTACATTATATAGAGTTGCTCTCTACACACAGTGAAGTTACAGTGAATTCAATTTTTTTAAAGAACAATATGGCCATATGTACCCTGCATTTCCTTTGGATCTAGTGTTGGCACCTCGCTGATTTTGTTCCTTAAGTTATCCAACAGCATCTTGAACTCATGGTGGATGTTGTCGATCTCAGTGTTCAGAAGAGATGATGAGTCCATGATGATGGCGTTGGGGTCTATTGTGTCTTTGAGCTTCCTGTGAGGAAGGAAAATGTGTACAGCTCCAAGGTTACTGCCAACATATAGTGTAAATCACTTCACCTCATGGTTCAACTTACACAAATGACTGATGATTGGCTGAGAGAAAGTGATGATAAAATGTTTGTGGGGGCTGTTTTGTTAGACTTCAGTGCGGCTTTTGACATTATCAATCATAGTCTGCTGCTGGAAAAACGTATGTGTTATGGCTTTACACTCCCTGCTATAATGTGGATAAAGAGTTACTTTAACAGAACACAGAGGGTGTTCTTTAATGGAAGCCTCTCCAACATAATCCAGGTAGAATCAGGAATTCCCCAGGGCAGCTGTCTATGCCCCTTACTTTTTTCAATCTTTACTGGTGACATGCCACTGGCTTTGAGTAAAGCCAGTGTGTCTATGTATGCAGATGACTCAACACTATACACGTCAGCTACTACAGCAACTAAAATTACTGCAATAGTTAACAAAGAGCTGCAGTTAGTTTCAGAATGGGTGGCAAGGAATAAGTTAGTCCTAAATATTTCTAAAACTAAAAGCATTGTATTTGGGACAAATCATTCACTAAATCCTAAACCTCAACTACATCTCATAATGAATAATGTAATATATAATTGAGCATGTTGAGGTGACTAAACTGCTTGGAGTAGCCCTGGATTGTAAACTGTCATGGTCAAAACATATTGATACAACAGTAGCTAAGATGGGGAGAAGTCTGTCGATAATAAAGCGCTGCTCTGCCTTCTTAACAACAATATCAACAAGGCAGGTCCTACAGGCCCTAGTTTTGTCACACCTAGACTACTGTTTAGTAGTGTGGTCAGGTGCCACAAAGAGGGACTTAGGGAAATTGCAGTTGGCTCAGAACAGGGCTGCAGGGCTGCCCCTTAAAAGTACACAGAGAGCTAACATTAATGACATGCATGTCAGTCTCTCATGGCTCAAAGTGGAAGAGAGATTGACTTCATCACTACTTGTTTTTTTAAGAGGTGTTGACAAGCTGAATGTACTGAGCTGTCTGTTTAAAATACTAGCACACAGCTCGGACACCCATGCATACCCCACAAGACATGCCACCAGAGGTCTCTTCACAAGTCCAGAACAGACTATGGGAGGCGCACAGTACTACATAGAGCCATGAATACATGGAACTCTATTCCACATCAGGTAACTGATGCAAGCAGTATAATCAGATTTTTAAAAACAGGTAAAAATACACCTTATGGAACAGCGGGGACTGTGAAGGTACAGAAACACGCATACATTGTGATATTGTTGTATGATGGTATTATACATTTTGTATTGTGGATATGTAGTGGTGTAATAATTTTATATGATGTACTGTTTTATCTTTTGTTTTATATGTAATGTAAGTGCTTTAATATGTGTGGACCCCAGGAATAGTAGCTGGGGATCCCTAATAAATACAAATACAAACTGTTGAACAATAATATTCAGAAAGGAAAAAAGTGAGAGATTGTTGTTTACATACGAGATTCTGACAGACAGCTTCTCCACGTCTTTCACCCGAGGTAAAGAGCTCTCTGTCAGGTTCACCAAATAGTCCAGCTTGGAGTGCATCTCCAGCATTCGTTGCCACTGACGACTGTGTCCAGATTCTAGCTGCTCGCTGTGGTGAGGGATGAAGGTGCGCATCCTCTGGGCGGCACGGTGGACATCGGTGACGTTGTCCGCCCACAGGACGGCACAGGGGTGGCACGGGGTGCAGGCGGGGAAGACTTGGTCATACCCAGGGGCACACTCGTCACAGAAGATGCCCATCACACCAATGCGGCACAGACACTCACCAGTCAATGGGTCACAGGCGGGGCGGTCGGTACCCTCCATGTTACAATCACAGGCTATGGAGACAGGATAAGAAGGGAAGGGACAAGTGTCAATCATTCTTCTTTTACGGTGAAACACCATTGTCTCTCTTTGTGGTGCTAGAAACTAAAATACCCAATACTTAGCCATCATCAATAATCACTTTCGGCCACAACTTACAGACACACTGCAGGTCAGGGTTCCCAAAGTGATTCTCCCCACACTCATCACACTGTCTGCCTCCAAACTCAGTATGACACTGGCACTGACCAGTCACCTATAGAGTCAAATATGAAGACTTACCAATATAGTATGGGCTACTATAGAATACAGTCAGGTCCATAATTATTGGCACCCTTGATAAAGATGAGCAAAGAAGACTGTATAAAATAAATGATACAAATACTGAGCTATATTGTATGCAACATTTTTTTTGTACAATTATTTTATAGTACACTAATACAATTGCTCAGAGAATGTGATTTAGTTTAAAGGGGCAGTGCAGTCAAAAACGTGATTTCCACAGAGTATACAAAACATTAGGAACTCCTTCCTAATATCGAGAGTTGCACCCCCTGCCTTTTGCCCTCAGAACAGCCTCAATTCATTGGGGTATGGACTCTGCAAGGTGTTGAAAGCATTCCACAGGGATGCTGGCTCATGTTGACTCCAATGCTTCCCACAGTTGTGTCAAGTTGGCTGGATGTCCTTTGGGTGGTGGACCATTCTTGATACATATGGGAAACTGTTGAGCATGAAAAACCCAGTAGCGTTGCAGGTCTTGGCACAAACCGGTGCAGCTGGCACCTACTACCATACCCCGTTCAAAGGCACTTAAATATTTTGTCTTGCCCAGTCACCCTCTGAATGGCACACATAAATTATCCATGTCTCAAGGCTTAAAAATCCATCTTAAACTGGTATCCTCCCCTTCATCTACACTGATTGAAGTGGATTTAACATCAATTTGGGACATCAATAAGGGATCATAGCTGTCACCTGGATTCACCTGGTCAGTCTAGGTCATGGTGTCCTTAATGTTTTGTACACTCAGTGTAGATTTGCCAATAACAGCTAGTTTTCAGGTTACATATCCCTCCCATTAGGCTCCTCCAATTAGGTCCCTCACTCAGATCACTCCAATAAAGTTTTAGCTAAATTCTTGCTTGAGAAATTGCTTTTTGCTAAGAAGCTATGTTACATTTTGACAATTTTAAATGAAAACAATCACAGAAACCAGGTTTCCAACCCTTTTTATGTGGGATAATAAAAATGGCACGACAGGCCTGATAGAAACAGCAAATCTGGCAGTACATTTCCAAATGTCGACAAAACAGAATACGCTAGGCAAAGGTGTGATCAAGGTGTAAAAGAAAAATGGCGGTGGATACACCTTTAATGCGCAAATATTGATATAATAACCATCATAAAGCTCTGGATAAGAGCGTCTGCTAAATGACGTAAATGTAAATAAAGTGCTCAGTGATTAGCTTGATGCTCTTTTCCAATAAATATCCTGGTGACTTGATGATCGATGCTTGGCTGCCGTTTGAAAAACAAAGATAATCTTGCTCAGTTTTGTCCATAATAACTGACCAGTTGAATCCAGGTGAAAGCTATGATCCCTTATTGATGTCACCAGTTAAATCCACTTCAAATCAGTGTAGATGAAAGGGAGGAGACTTTAAGCCTTGAGACAATTGAGAAATTGATTATGTATGTGTGCCATTCAGAATGTGAATAGGCAAGACAAAAGATTGAAGTGCCTTTTTCTCGCTGAACAGTTTCCAATGTGTATCAAGAATGGTCCACCACCCAAAGGACATCCAGCCAACTTGACACAACTGTGCGAAGCATTGGAGTCAACATGTGCCAGAATCCCTGTGGAACGCTTTCGACACCTTGTAGAGTCCATGCCCCGATGAATTGAGGCTGTTTTGAGGGCAAAAGGGGGTGCAACTTGATATTAGGAAGGAGTTCCTAATGTCTTGTACACTCAGTGTATATAAAACACAGGAAAATCCCATTTTTGACTGCCCCTTTAAACAAAATGTTTCTTTGAGCAATTATATTAGTATACTATAAAATATATAATTTTATACAGTCGTTTTTGCTCATCGTTATCAAGGGTTCCAATAATTTTGGACCTGACTATATATCTTAATTTATCCATTATCCAAGTATGTAAAATGAAGTGCTAGGGAGTATTGAGGCCTTGCCTTGTCACAGTGGTTATTGAAGGAGTTAGCAGGATCACATTTGCATGGTTGGCACCCGGACTCTCCCTGAATGTTCCAGAAGCCGTTGGCACACTCGTCACACAGCGTTCCCACCGCGCCTGCCCGACACGGGCACTGACCTGTCAGCGGGTCACAGAAACACGGGCTGCCCAGAGGGCACTGGGTCACATCCGTCCCCTGCCGGTCACAGGAGCACTCTGGGGAACACACAAACAAAAATAAAGACAGTAAAACACACATAAATAGCCACATATCATATCCAAACAGTCATGGGATTTGATGACAATTTTGATACTGTGTGTCCCTGCTATACCTTTGCAGTCCTGGGCCAGTGCGTCTCCATAGTAGCCAGGCCTACAGCTCTGACAGTTGGGTCCCTGGGTGTTGTGGAGGCAACGCAAACACTCGCCCGTCACACTGTCACACGCGTCACTGTCAGCAGGGTCGATGTTGTTGTTACAGAGACACTCCACGCAGCCGCCACCCGGCTTGGTCAGGCCACTGTAGAAACCAGCAGAGCAGGCATCACAGAAGAGACCTGAATGGAATATGGGCGGGGAGAGAAACGTGGTTCAAAGGTCAGTATTGAGCAGTCAAACTAGCCAGTAGCTTCATCAAATGTTGAAAAGAGTGCACATGCACCTACATAAACACACAAACACACCTGTGTGTCCAGTCAGGCAGTCACAGGTCAGGCTACCAGACTCTGGGTCCTTGTTGCAGGTGCTGGCGAAGAACCGTCCACTGGACTGAGTGTCAGGACACAGACAAGGCTCACAGGGCTCCCTGGAGACTGGGTCACCAAAGTAACCCTCCACACACCTGGAGCAACCAAACACACAACATTCATTATTCAGTCTGACTGACACTGTGTGTACTGTACACTGGCAGATCTGTGACTGTAGAAAGAATGATAGTCAGAGGAGTTGGCACACACAGATATGGAACCAGGCTATAGATATGGGTTGATTATAATATGGAAATGTGAATAAAAACGTTTAAATGAATGAATGAATAAATAAATGAATGAAAGAACCTTCACCTCTCACATCTGTATCCGGTGGAGTGCTCCCTGCAGTCCAGGCAGGCTCCAGTGTCCTGGTCACACAGTTCAGCCAGGCCGTTGCAGTCACAGGGCCGACACAGGGGGAAGCTGTAGTACCCCGGCAGGCAACGGTCACAGCGTCGCCCACCCACCTCCATACGACACGGACACTGACCTCTGACCTGGTCACACAGCTCCGCCACCGCACCGCGAGGGTCACACTCACACGCTGGAGGAGGGGAGGTTGGAGGGGGAGGGAGAGAGAGCGATCGCGAGAGACAAGAGAACGAGAAAGAGAGAATATCTTCTCTTATTCAGGAAAAGGTTTAGTCACAATTAGAACACAACAAAGACCTCACAGCATCTTTTCAAACACATACACTATGGGTCAAAAGTTTTAGAACACCTCCTCATTCAAGGGTTTTTCTTTATTTTTACTATTTTCTACATTGTAGAATAATAGTGAAGACATCAAAACTATAAAATATAACATACAGTGAGGGAAAAAAGTATTTGATCCCCTGCTGATTTTGTACGTTTGCCCACTGACAAAGAAATGATCGGTCTATCATTTTAATGGTAGGTTTATTTGAACAGTGAGAGACAGAATAACAACAAAGAAATCCAGAAAAACGCATGTAAAATTTTGTATAAATTGATTTGCATTTTAATGAGGGAAGTAAGTATTTGACCCCCTCTCAATCAAAAAGATTTCTGGCTCCCAGGTGTCTTTTATACAGGTAACTAGCTGAGATTAGGAGCACACTCTTAAAGGGAGTGCTCCTAATCTCATCTTGTTACCTGTATAAAAGACACCTGTCCACAGAAGCAATCAATCAGTCAGATTCCAAACTCTCCACCATGGCCAAGACCAAAGAGCTCTCCAAGGATGTCAGGGACAAGATTGTAAACCTACACAAGGCTGGAATGGGCTACAAGACCATCGCCAAGCAGCTTGGTGAGAAGGTGACAACAGTTGGTGCGATTATTCGCAAATGGAAGAAACACAAAAGAACTGTCAATCTCCCTCGGCCTGGGGCTCCATGCAAGATCTCACCTCGTGGAGTTGCAATGATCATGAGAACGGTGAGGAATCAGCCCAGAACTACACGGAAGGATCTTGTCAATGATCTCAAGGCAGCTGGGACCATAGTCACCAAGAAAACAATTGGTAACACACTACGCCGTGAAGGACTGAAATCCTGCAGCGCCCGCAAGATCCCCCTGCTCAAGAAAGCACATATACAGGGCCGTCTTAAGTTTGCCAGTGAACATCTGAATGATTCAGAGGAGAACTGGGTGAAAGTGTTGTGGTCAGATGAGACCAAAATCGAGCTCTTTGGCATCAACTCAACTCGCCGTGTTTGGAGGAGGAGGAATGCTGCCTATGACCCCAAGAACACCATCCCCACCGTCAAACATGGAGGTGGAAACATTATGCTTTGGGGGTGTTTTTCTGCTAAGGGGACAGGACAACTTCACCGCATCAAAGGGACGATGGACGGGGCCATGTACCGTCAAATCTTGGGTGAGAACCTCCTTCCCTCAGCCAGGGCATTGAAAATGGGTCGTGGATGGGTATTCCAGCATGACAATGACCCAAATCACACGGCCAAGGCAACAAAGGAGTGGCTCAAGAAGAAGCACATTAAGGTCCTGGAGTGGTCTAGCCAGTCTCCAGACCTTAATCCCATAGAAAATCTGTGGAGGGAGCAGAAGGTTTGAGTTGCCAAACGTCAGCCTCAAAACCTTAATGACTTGGAGAAGATCTGCAAAGAGGAGTGGGACAAAATCCCTCCTGAGATGTGTGCAAACCTGGTGGCCAACTACAAGAAAAGTCTGACCTCTGTGATTGCCAACAAGGGTTTTGCCACCAAGTACTAAGTCATGTTTTGCAGAGGGGTCAAATACTTAATTCCCTCATTAAAATGCAAATCAATTTATAACATTTTTGACATGCATTTTTCTGGATTTTTTTGTTGTTATTCTGTCTCTCACTGTTCAAATAAACCTAGCATTAAAATTATAGACTGATCATGTCTTTGTCAGTGGGCAAACGTACAAAATCAGCAGGGGATCAAATACTTTTTTTCCCTCACTGTATGGAATCATGTAATAACCAAAATATATATGAGATTTGAGATTCTTCAAATAGCCACCCCTTGCCTTGATGACAGCTTTGCACACTCTTGGCATTTTCTCAACCAGCTTCACCTGGAATGCTTTTCCAACAGTCTTGAAGGAGTTCCCACATATGCTGAGCACTTGTTGGCTGCTTTTCCTTCACTCTGCGGTCCGTCTAATCCCAAACCATCTCAATTTAGTTGAGGTCGGGGGATTGTGGAGGTCATCTGATGCAGCACTCCATCACTCTCCTTCTTGGTAAAATAGCCCTTACACAGCCTGGAGGTGTGTTGGGTCATTGTCCTGTTGAAATACAAATGATAGTCCCACTAAGCCCAAACCAGATGGGATGGCGTATCGCTGCAGAATGCTGTGGTAGCCATGCTGGTTAAGTGTGCCTTGAATTCTAAATAAATCACTGACAGTGTCACCAGCAAAGCACCCCCACACCATCACACCTCCTCCTCCATGCTTCACGGTGGGAACCACACATGCAGAGATCATCCGTTCACCCACACTGCGTCTCACAAAGACACAGACTCTAATGTCCATTGCTCGTGTTTCTTGGCCCAAGCAAGTCTCTTCCTTTTATTGGTGTCCTTTAGTAGTGGTTTCTTTGCAGCAATTTGACCATGAAGGCCTGATTCACACAGTCTCTTCTGAACAGTTGATGTTGAGATGTGTCTGTTACTTGAACTCTGTGAAGCATTTATTTGGGCTGCATTTTCTGAGGCTGGTAACTCTAATGAACTTATCCTCTGCAGCAGAGGTAACTCTGGGTCTTCCATTCCTGTGGCGGTCCTCATGAGAGCCAGTTTCATCATAGCGCTTGATGGTTTTTTGCGACTGCACTTGAAAAAACTTTCAAAGTGTTAACTTTTTTGGTTACTACATGATTCCATATGTGTTATTTCATAGTGTTGATGTCTTCACTATTATTCTACAATGTAGAAAATAGTAAAAAATCAAGAAAAACCCTTGAATGAGTAGGTGTTCTAAAACTTTTGACCAGTAGTGTATATATATTATGGTATGTAACCATAGAATGTAACCATAGAAAGCTGTTGTCATGGTGACATACGTGCACAGCCGTTGGGTCCGAAGCCGAAGTTCATGGGGGCGCAGGAGTCACAGCAGCGGCCAACCACATTGGCCTTGCACTCACAGAGCCCTCCGAATTTACTGCAGGAGGGGCCATGAGAACCCTGGATGTTACACCTGCAAACTGGAGACACCGGTAATGGCATTACACACCCACTTTGGCTTTTTTCGAAGTCTCATACCTTCGCTCAGGGCTCAGAGCTAGCTGAAAATAAGTGCCGATTTCTGAACGGTTGCCAGAATGAGTATATACCTACAGTGTACACTGTGATAACGTTGAGATATTGTTTAGGCTAGGCCATGGTTTACTCACGCATGGCTCCGTTGTGTATGCGGGCCGACAGGCTTCCGATGAGGCCCTTACACACATCAGGCAGGATCTCCTGCTCAGCAGCCAACTCAACACAGCGGAATCTTCTGAACGAGTCCAGCTCACTCTGCGAACAGAAGTCCTGCACAGACTCCATCTTAGGGATCAGACCCATCTAGAAACAGGAAGTGCATGGGTTTAACAGGGTACCTCAGAAGACTACATCTCCCATGACAGACAATATTATGATACAAATGATAATGTGATGGTATTCCCACTGAGTCGATGAGGGTATGTGAGCTGGACTGAGGGTTAGAGTTGGGCTGCTTCCTAAAAGTGATGTCCACATAATATCTTCCTCCTGCGTTCAGACACACAGGCGTATCCAAAATGGCAACCCTGGGGACAAACACACGATCATAATGTTATCAGACTTAGGAGTATGCAGGTAAATACTGTACAATTCACCTCGGGTGTGACCTTAGGTTGATATTGATGATATATTATGATAATGAGTGCAGTTGCCTTTTACCTGGCAGCCCCAGGTATGGTGAGTGTTTTCTCCCCTGTCGGGTTAGTGGGACATCCTCCATCACCAGCCAATAATGGAACAATGCTCACAGAGGCCATCCAGTCATCTGGCGACTTCAGAGACCAAAGTAAGCACAGTGTCCAACTTTGAGGGCACAATAAATATAAGCTCAAATTCACACAGAAACTATTTCACATGCACACACATCAACACTTACAGCGTGTTTCCATGGTTTCACATGTTTTTAGTTGCTATGGTTGCCCTCACCTCTGGTTCATAGCGGATGACTAGATGGTAGTCAAGGGTTGCTGGGAGGTTGTCCACAGTGAACCTAAGCCCCGCACCATCCAGGACCCGCACGAATCCTGGGCCGGTCCAAGTGATTGGTACATCTGGGGTCCTCTCCCGGGGCACAATCTGGAGCGCTGAGCCTGGGTCCAGGCGAATGGACCTCTGATGGAAAGAAACCCAGTGTGAGTTGCTAATTAGTACTACACTAGTACTGTGTAAGTAAGGTATTGAGCCATTGCTAGTACCTGTCCCTGTCTTCTCCTCCTGGCTCGTCTCTTGCTTCTCCTGGTCAGGACCAAGCGGCCATTTTGATATTTGAGGTCATAGCCCTGCTGTCTGTAGTATTCCTCACACACAGGCATGTCTGTGGGTTTAAACTGGGAGAGGAACACACACAGACACCAACTTAGGGTTTTTGAATTGCTGACAAAATCCAATATCAAAAGTTTGACACTGAAGCTTTCCATCCACAGCCATTTGCCACAATGCTGGAGGTCAAAGGTCATACTCAGGCCTCACCAGAGAGGAGGAGTTTTTTCCCTCCAGTGGGGCAGCGTTCTCTGCCTCGTACAGGTAGTAGTCCAGAGCAGCAAGGAAATGTCCAGGAGCAGGATCACCACAGCTCCGGCCCACCATGTTGGGCAGGCACTGACACTGGCCGTCCACTGAGGAGCACCTGTGGACATGACAGACAGGGAGATACAGCCAATCAGGTTGGACAAGTGGGCAAGTCAGAACACGCTTAGCCCGGGGTGTATTCTGTTTCAGAGGTGAAACGTTCAGAATGTTTACATAGAAATGTATTGAGTAGAACAGATGTGATTGATGATGAGCGTTTCACCTCACTGAATAAACCCCAGGTGTTACGTCAGTTACGTGAAGTAAAGGTCTAGTGTGGCCTAGGGTGGTCTAGCAGTCTAGGCAGCTGCCTCCAGTGCACATGTACCACTGCAGCATGGGTTTGAATCTGGCCCACTGCTATTTCAGCACACTCTTCTCCATCTTTCACCTCTATCCAATATACAAAGACTTAAAAATATAAAAAAATGAAGTAACTGTCCAGATTTCTATGAAATATGACTTATAATTAATTAAAATATGAGTGAAATAGTGAGATTTTCACTGGACAGTTACTTTAAGAAGTCATTATGTACTGTACAATGCTGTTTTACACACGTGCTGCTGTAGGCTCCTCCATGGTCACAGTCACAAGGTGAGCAGGTGTGTACAGTGTTCCCCAGACCCCAGTAACCTGGCTAGAGAGCGAGACAGCAAGAGTGAGATGGAGAGAAAGAGAAAGAGAGAGAGAGAGAGAGAGGGAGAGAGATCAATCAGGACGTTGGTGGCATTAAGTTTATGGTAAGAGCTAAATCACAATAAATGTGACAGAAAGAATCAACTCCATCACTACAACACTGGTTGTCATGGACACATGGTCCTACCAGACATTGGTCACACAGGGGTCCCGTGGCGAGGCGCTGACATACACACTGGCCTGTCAACTGGTCACATGGGTAGGGGGTCAGGACACTACCCAGGAAGTTACACCTGCACCCTAAACACAGAGGACCAATCAGAGAGAGGGATGAACCACAGGGAGGCCACCATAGATATAGAATGAGTCCAGCAGATCTGGCTCTTGGTAAAGATTCTTACTCTGGCAGCCAGTGGGGTCCGCCTGGCTGAACCCGTAGAAGCCAAATTTACAGCGATCACACCTGTCCCCTGCCACGTTCTCCTTACACACGCAGCGGCCCGACACGGGGTCACACAGGCCGTTATCCAGGGACCCCGTCGGATCACAGTCACACGCTGGAGCAGAGGGAGCCAATGAGATCCACCGTTAGAACAGGATGGAAAGAGATTGAATGACATCGATGCACAGCTTCATATACCGTGACATCAATGCAAAGCGTCTATTGACTTCACTTCATGGGAGTAGTACAAGACCTACAGGGACAACTTCATATAAATCATTGCCAGATTATTTGCCTGGACCAAAAGCCCAATCTAGATATAAACCTGCTAGAAGCTGACTTACGGATACATCCCCGAGGGTCTTCCATGGAGAGCTGGGGGTCCTGGTAGAGATAGGGTCGGCAGCGTTCACACTGGGGACCCATGCGGTCGTGTCGGCAGTTGTCACACACACCCCCGCTGACCCCCCCACTGGCCTGGTACTGGTCTATGTCGAAGTGACACGTCTCCGAATGACCGTGACAGTTACACCCTAAGTGAAGAAACAAACACCATCATAATACTTATACAATGTAATACACTCTGAATTATCCCATTTTCCACATAAGTATGATTCCATCAATGATGGCTTGGAGGGGTGTTCGAGGCTTTAGCTCATAGCATGTTAGGCATTTCAGGTTTGAATCCCAGTTCATGCATAAACACCAGTCAAATAGTAAATAGCCCATTAAAGTGCATTACTTCTGCAGACATGTGGGTCAGTTTGGCCGGCCGGCCTCCAGGGGACATCATTGTAAAAGTCCTGGCATCTCTCACAGTTTGTGCCCACAGTGTTGTGTTGGCATACACAGCGCCCGTGAATCTAAGAGAACAAGATCAGAGATACACAAAGATATACGGAGGTAAACAATACTTGAAGAACCCAAAAGAAAACCGTTCAGGATTCAATGTGGCCATTATGGATACAGTACAACTGCTATAGTCCCTTCTTCACCATCCTCACCATGCCACGCTCATTTAAGACATCTCCTCGGGTGCCATCCACGGGCATACACATGCTGGCATGGCCATTGCAGAAGCAGCTGCCGCGCACCACCATTTCGTACAGGGCATAGTAGTACTTCTCCTGAGGGTTCCTCTTCTTCCGCGCCAGTAGGGTGTCACCCAGGGTGAACAAATGGGTGAAGTTGACCCGCAGGTTGGTCAAGGTGATCTGCTCTGAAGGGGAGAACATATCAAATGGGTGAAAGTGTTTTTTTTATATACATATAATTCTACATTGTTCCACCAATGGTAATAATGCAATGAAAAGTATAGGAGCTGTGTCTAACCTTGAATATGGGGAGCATATGGGTTCTCTATGTCAAAACTTGGATCTAGAGCCTTCAACACCACCTGTAATGTAATCATAGATACGTGCCATATGTTTGGTTATTGCGTGTTACATCGGTGTGTAAGTCACTCTAGATAAGTGTCTGCTAAATGACCAAAATGTAAACGTGTGTGTATGTATGTGTATTTCACCTCTCCGTCAGTAGATGGCTCTGAGGCTGAGTATCTGCTGTCACAGATGACATCATCGATGCTGTCAGCCGGCCCTTGCGAGACCCAAGGGAAGTGGGAGGCACAGTCCTCTGAAAAGTAGCGGAACACCTTCCAACTGTGCCCGTAGTCTTTGGACCTCTCCACCAACATGGCGGCAGGACGGAAACTCTTCAAGGCCAAGAAAAGGAAATATTATCACTCCACAGGAAGTCTCAGTGCAGACAGAGCGAAAATTGTTAAGAACACTGTGTTATGGTTTGGCTGTCAGAGGTCTTAGACAAGGGGTGTTAGATACCTTGAAAGTGAGGACCAGATGGCTGAACTGGAAAAGAGTCTCCAGATCCAGCCGGATACTGACTTGATGAACCCCTACATTTATGGATGTATAGTGGTATCAGTGAATGTTGTGAGAAAAGATTTACTGGTGCCAAGGCCAAGGTCTTTTGTATCAGATGGAGTCCAAAAGTCCCTAAAAGGGATTTTCCATGAGCTGTCATTGTACAGTAGGCTCTAGCCTAGCCATTCAAAAGGTGTTGGAACATTCTTGCTCACCTCTTGATATGATCAGACTGAGTTCAAATACATGCGTCAAATACTTTCAAGTGATTTAGTTAGCCCTGTCGGTACTCAAGCTAAAGCTAATCTCAAATACTTTCACGTAAGTAACATTATGTTTTTGACCTAGGCCTGGCTATCATACAGACAACATCTGGAATGAGACCCACCGTTCTCAGACTGCCACCACTTCATTTTGCGCTCAGGGCCAAAGTTGGTGATGACGTTCTCAATCTGGTGGCTGTCTTGGTTGTTGTAGAGGTTGTAGGGCTGCCTGGAATCACAGCTGAAACACTTCTGCTCATCCTGAGAGAGACAAAAAGGGACATTTTCCATTTTGTTGCTAGAAATGAAACAGTGGTTTTACACAACTCATTGGTTTGCCATGGCAACAACTCTAATAACTGAGTGAGCGATTAAGTTACACTTTTTGTCCTACAATTAGTTCTCAACTGCCCCAAAACAATGAGGCAGTATTTTACGAACAAAACGTAACTTATAAAGTCATAAGGCCATAAATCATACAAAAGTGTATGGAACTTCCATGCGATGGTAGGCGTGTGAGGACATGCATTCACCAACACTGGAATAATCCCATTAAATCAACTCAGTCAGACAAGGTATGAACCAGAGGGCATCTTAAGACTGTACTGCTATTTACAACTGTCAATCGGTGGTTAGAGAACAACATTTGCCATGCATCTGTTCTGACTAACAAATAAGAAATTGAATAAAATAAAGAACCAAAATGAACTAGAAAAAGAAATGCAAAAGTGGCACACACCCCACATACCTATCACCTGTCAGGGGAGAACAGGGGGAAGAGCTGTGAGAGGGAGAAAGGCAGAGAGTGAAACATATAGAAATAAGGTGTGTTAGATGGAAAAGTGAAGGGGAATGAAGGGGAAGCAAGAGCACTATGCAAGCAATCATCATAGCGAGAGCACAAAAATTAGTCCCAGAGCGTGTTCAGTGAAAAGACAGGTAATGGCCTATAAATGTGGCAGATCAAGACACGTCTGCAGTATGAAGCATCTTAAGGGCGAGCCACAGAGCTGTCAATCAAATGGAGAGAGTTGTTCTAAAACAACGCTTTATATCCTATTCCAACCTTCAACATCTGGCTTAAAACCTGTTGAAATTCTGTAGATAATACTGACCAGGTTTCTAAATGTAATCAGTTACGTTTACATTTCTAATTTAAAAAAATCGTAGTTACTTTTGGATTACTTTGCCCTTAAGAAGACGAAAAGGATACATCAAACGCATTTGGTGTGTCATCATAGTGGTCGCTGACTTGTGGTCAAACTCGCTCAGGTGAAATAAACGTAAACTTGCAAACTTTTTCAATGCTGAACTAAATGTCATTGAGAAAACAAAGGTGTCATAATGTATTTATTTTTTATCGCAAACATCCTTTTAGAATTTAAAAGTAATGAAATAAGTAATCTAGTTTTCTAAAGTATCTGTAATCTGATTGCAATATGTTTGCTGGTAAAGTAACTGATGAAAGTTAGTTCTTTATAATCAGATTACATGTAATCAATTACTCCTCAACCCTGGTACTGGCAAGCCTGATGTCTTTTTGCGTGGGATCACAGCTAAAGTACATGCATGCATGTGTCAATCTGTCTGTCACGGAATCAGCCGAGGCTGCCCCTCCTCCTGGCTCGGGCAGGCTTCGTCGTTCGTCGTCCCTGGAGTACTAGCTGCCACCGATCTATGTTTCGGTGTTTGTCTAGTTTGTCCTGATTGTTTTCACCTGTTTCCCATTATGTTACATTGTATTCCCTTTATAACCCCCTGTCTCTCAATAGTTATTGTGTGTGATTGTTTTCCGTGAGGTCGGCAGTGTTCGGGTGTATGCTGTTCCTCTCTGTTTGGAGGTTTTGTTTGTATTTGATTTACTGTGCAAGTAAAGTTCGTCTGCCAGTAGCTCGGTGTCCTGCGCTTGACTTCGCTCACAGCATACACGTCGCCCTGACAGAATCACACACCACTCATGGAGTCAGCAGGAGCGGCGGTGCCAGCTGGATCAATGGAGGAACGCGTCGAACACCAAGCGGCCATGATCCTGGCTCTCGGCACCGCCATGGAACGGGTGGTGAGCACTATTGAGCGATGGGAAAGAGGGGGTCTGCCTACGCCTCCTCCAATGATACCACCACCATCGGCGATGCCCATCGTTTCACCTCCGGGGTCCAGTGGGATTCGGCTCTCGCTCCCGAGGGCTTATGATGGCACAGCGGCCGGGTGTCAGGGTTTCCTGCTCCAGGTTGAACTCTACCTAGAAACCATCCACCCGGTGCCCTCGGGATACGAGAGCGTGTCCGCCCTCATCTCCTGTCTGTCCGGCAAGGCACTGGAGTGGGCCAACGCCGAGTGGGCGGGAATAGACGCCGCTACTGTCAACTATGCGGAGTTCACCCGCCGCTTCAGGGCAGTATTCGATCATCCACCCGAGGGTAAAGCGGCGGGTGAGCGTCTATTCCACCTTGGACAGGGGAGGAGGAGAGCACAGGAGTTCGCGCTGGACTTCCGGACACTGGCTGCCAACGCGGGATGGAATGAGAGGGCCCTCATCGACCACTACAGATGTAGCCTGAGGGAGGACGTGCGTCGGGAATTGGCCTGCAGGGACACCAACCTCAGCTTCGACCAACTGGTGGACATGTTGGCTACCCGCGGACGTCCGGATTCAGGGCCGTCCATTCCATCCCCCAGCACTTCCAACCGACCCCTATGGAGCTCGGAGGTACTGGTGCTAGGGAGACCAGGAGGGAGGCCGTCCCCTGCACCAACTGTGGCCGCAGAGGACACACTGCTGGTCGGTGCTGGGGATGGTCTCCTAGGAATCGAGGCAGTAGGCAGCGCACTGATGAGTCATTCCAGGTGAGTAGGCACCCAACTCACCCAGAGCTCTCTGTTGCGCATACAGTATGTGTATTAAAGTTGTGTTTCCCGAGGTTTCTCCTCACTCCCAGCATAAGGCACTAGTAGATTCAGGAGCAGCTGGGAATTTTATCGATCGCCAATTCACCTATAAGTTAGGGATTCCTATTGTACCTGTTGATGTGCCCTTCCCCATCCATGCCCTAGATAGCCGATCTTTGGGGTCAGGATTGATTAGGGAAGTCACAGCGCCTCTCAGGATGAACACGCAGGAGGGCCATGAGGAGATACTACGTTTGTATTTGATCGATTCTCCTGCGTTTCCCGTGGTGTTGGGGCTTCCCTGGTTAACATCTCATGACCCCAACATTTCATGGCAACAGAGGGCTCTCAAGGGATGGTCTGATCAGTGTTTTGGGCGGTGTGTAGGTGTTTCCGTAGGGGCAACGACGGTGGAAAGCGCAAACCAAGTTCCCACCATGCACATTCCACCTGAGTATGGCGATTTGGCACTCGCCTTCTTTAAAATACCTCATCGACAGGGGGATTGTGCGATAGCCCTCCAAATAGGTGCTGCGCTTCCGCGTAGTCATGTGTATCCTCTGTCTCAGGAGGAGACGTCGGCTATGGAGACATACGTCACAGAATCTCTGAGACAGGGATACATACGGCCGTCCACTTCCCCTGCGTCCTCAAGTTTCTTTTTTGTGAAGAAGAAGGATGGGGATTTACGCCCGTGTATTGATTACCGTGGTCTCAATCAGATCACAATCAAATACAGCTATCCTCTCCCTCTGATTGCTAGTATGACGGAGTCATTACACGGGGCGCGATTCTTCACAAAATTGGATCTCAGGTGCGCATTACAACCTGGTGCGCATTAGGGAGGGAGATGAGTGGAAGACAGCATTCAGTACCACCTCGGGTCACTATGAGTACCTCGTCATGCCATACGGTTTAATGAATGCTCCTTCAGTCTTCCAATCATTTGTGGACGAGATTTTCCGGGACTTGCATGGACAGGGTGTAGTGGTGTATATTGATGACATTCTAATATACTTCGCTACACGAGCCGAGCATGTGTCCCTGGTGCGTCGAGTGCTTGGTAGACTGTTAGAGCATGACCTGTATGCGAAGGCGGAGAAATGTATTTTCTTCCAGGAGTCCATCTCCTTCCTGGGACATCGGTTGTCCGCGTCAGGGGTGGAGATGGAGATTGACCGCGTTTCTGCCATGCGTAATTGACAGACTCCCACCACGGTGAAGGAAGTGCAGCGGTTCTTGGGTTTTTGCCAATTACTACCGGAGGTTTATCCGGGGCTTTGGACAGGTAGCAGCTCCCATTACCTCCCTGCTAAAGGGGGGTCCGGTGCGTCTGCAGTGGTCGGCTGAGGCGGACAGGGCGTTTAGACATCTGAAGGACCTGTTTACCTCGGCTCCGGTGCTGGCACATCCGGATCCCTCGTTGGCATTCCAAGTTGAGGTAGATGCGTCCGAGGCTGGGATCGGCGCTGTGCTGTCTCAGCGCTCGGGTACGCCACCATCACTCCGCCCCTGTGCTTTCTATTCTAAGAAGCTCAGTCCGGCGGAGCGCAATTATGACGTGGGGGACAGGGAGCTGTTAGCTGTGGTTCAAGCCCTGAAGGTGTGGAGGCATTGGCTTGAGGGGGCTAAACACCCTTTTCTCATTCTGACTGACCATCGTAACCTGGAGTACATCCGGGCAGCGAGGAGGCTGAACCCTCGCCAGGCAAGGTGGGCTATGTTTTTCTCCCGATTTGTATTTAAGCTCACCTATAGACCAGGGTCACAGAACGCTAAGGCAGACGCCCTGTCCCGACTATATGACACAGAGGAGAGGTCCATTGAGCCCACTCCCATACTCCCGGAGTCTTGTCTGGTGGCACCAGTGGTGTGGGAGGTTGATGCGGACATCGAGCGGGCGTTACGTACCGATCCTACTCCCCCACAGTGTCCAGAGGGTCGGAAGTACGTGCCGCTCGAGATTCGCGATCGATTGATATATTGGGCTCACATGTCACCCTCCTCTGGTCATCCTCGTATTGGTCGGACAGTGCACTGCCTTAGTGGGAAGTACTGGTGGCCCACTTTAGCTAAGGACGTGAGGGTTTATGTTTCCTCCTGCTCGGTGTGCGCCCAGTGTAAGGCGCCTAGACACCTGCCCAGAGGGAAGTTACAACCCCTACCCGTTCCACAACGGCCGTGGTCTCACCTATCGGTGGATTTTGTCACGGACCTTCCCCCCTCCCAGGGGAACACGACGATCTTGGTCTTGTTTGTATTTGATTTACTGTGCAAGTAAAGTTTGTCTGCCAGTAGCTCGGTGTCCTGCGCTTGACTTTGCTCACAGCATACACGTCGCCCTGACACTGTCTGTCTGTGCTTGTGGAACATATCTGTTTTGACATTAGTACTGTGTACAGAGACAGATGAACATATGCAGACAACACTGCCTTCAACACCACATCTCTAGTTTGTATATAGGATCAGTGCACCACAGAGCCCCCCTATCAAGATTTAAGTCCTGACCTCCAGGTATCCGAGGATGCAGTAGTTATGGGGCCTGTTCCGTCCACAGGTGGAGGAGGCTGAGAGCTGGGCAGCGCGGCCTACCATCAGGTCCCCCAGCTGGGGGTGGCAAGAGTTCACATCACAGTCTTCCTGGAGGAGGGCCCCAGGCACCAGCACTGGAACAGAGAAACTGAACAGTCAGAGGGGTCAAGAAAGAAAACATATTCTTATCCTTTTCTTTTGCTTTAACCTGTTTAGTGTTTGTTTATATATTATAGATTAACACTAAATGTAATACAGGATTTAGAATGAAAAAGTATGATGTCAAGGCTGCACTATAATAGCTAGATCATGGAAGATAATATTATGAGTATTGTGCTTCAGTACTATTTGTTTTGGAAGGATTTAAACCCTATGCTCACAAACAGTATAGTGAAAAAAGGATACATGCATTGACTATACTTACAGTATGTGTAAGCTGTCATTATGTAAAGATTATAGGTCATTATTAAACACTTTGGTGCTTTTGATTATATGCAGACACTGTAATCATCAACAAGCCAGATGTTGTGCTTCTTTTCCCTTTCTAAGTAAACATTTTAAGTAAATTACAAATTGTTTTAAAGACATGTCATCTTTGATGGGGCCTTTACGAAAATAAGTATTTTATTAAACAGAAATAAAACCGAATAAAACCAAAAATAATACAATTTCTAAGATGACCAAAGTCACTTTTTATAACACTCAAAACTTCTACTTAACAATAGTAAAGTTGTCCATACATGACTAAAATGATATCTACCATTATGAATATTAGGGAAAATATGCAAATAAAAATGTATTCCGCTAGAGAAAGCAAGTGCCAACAAGTGGAAATATTCTCCATCAGTGTGCAGCAAGTGATCACACGCCTGTGGAGAGAGGATTCATGGACTATAATGTCAAAGAGATTCTTCCTGCCAAAAACAAGACAATTGAATCCTGCCCCTGTTGAAACAAATAGCTGTGAAGATCTGTGTTTTTCCTTTTTCTGCTACATGTGATTTGCCTGTCATCAATTCAAATAGTGCCAAAGGAAGGTGAGTGTGACTTACACATGAGCAGGAACAGAGAAACCATTCTGCAGGTTGTTGGCTGCCAGACCTATTTGGGTGGTAGAAAACAACCCAGAGTGTGAAAACACAATATATTTGCTAGATATACACTGTTGGAGCTAGAAACATAAGCATTTTGCTGCACCTGCGATAACATCCGCAAATCTGTGTATGCAACCAATAAACGTTGATTTGATTTTGAAGACCGAGTCACCATGTTTTCAGTTCAATGGACCCAGATTAAGCCTATTCCTTGACAAAGAAGCAGACTCAACAGAGATGCTCTATTGGAGGTGCTTTTTAGTCCAAGAATGAATAAGGGTCCAGTGAACCAGACCAAAGTGTCTATCACTGTCAATGGGGAAGGGAGGGAGAGGGTCTGTAAAAATTAATTAGTCAGGTCTTGGTCATAGGTCAGACAGTGAACAACACATTAGCCGAAAAAAATTGCTGCATTGAACAGAGTTCAAACAAACAGAGTGTAGAGTGGAGAGTTGATGTCCAGGACCTTTCTACCAGTACAATTAGGTGAGGGTATTCACATTATCACAGGTAAAATCAAGGTTTCACCAACATGCTGATAAATAGGTCCAGACATGCTGGGCAGGTCATTATTTTGGCTACCATGGCTATGCCCACATACAATGACAATGCCCCCATCCACAGGACACGAGTGGTCACTGAATGGTTTGATGAGCATGAAAATGATGTAAACCATATGCTATGGCTGTTTCTGTCACCAGATCTCAACCCAATTGAACACCTATGGGAGACACCAAATGATGGAATTTCTCGTGGAAGAATGGTGTCACATCCCTCCAGTAGAGTTCCAGACATTTGTAAAAATTGATGCAAAGATGCATTGAAGCTGTTCTGGCCCAACGTCCTATTAAGACACTTTATTCACATTTACATTTTAGTCATTTAGCAGACGCTCTTATCCAGAGCGACTTACAGTTAGTGAGTGCATACATTTTTCATACTGGCCCCCCGTGGGAAACGAACCCACAACCCTGGCGTTGCAAGCGCCATGCTCTACCAACTGATCTACAGGGGACTTATGTTGGTGGTTACTTTATTTAGTTAGTTACCTGTATACTGTCACAGCAAAATAATCCTGCAGCAACAGGACTTGAACGTTTAGTCCATAATGTTACTTGATCGGTGGTTTGGCTATTAGCTGGACAAAAGTAGGCTACATGAAAAGTGCAATGCTGTTAATATAACTGTGTGTTAGTGTGGGTTTTCAGTTAATTTATATAAATAATCTGCATTTGCTGCAGTGCAGGAAAATTCTCAACAACAAAAGCGTGATCAAATTAAGATCCTAAACTACCACATGTTTAGGCAATGTGTTGTAAATACAAAGTGCCTACAACAGTAAAGTTTACACATACCACAGAAGCCATTCGCTTCATCAGTAAATATTCAGATCATTCTGGTGATGTGATATTAGCTAAGCTGCAATGCCTTTGGTGGTGTGACTGATTTGACCATCTCCCTAATTGTATGGGCTACTTTTCTCACATCGTGGGTCATATAGCCAATTCACAATGGGAGACTTAAATGCATGGCAGCAAAATAATATGCCCAAGGGACTACATTGGAATGTACAATGCCGTATATCACGGTTCTCTGCAAAAGTGCACCCTCAAGGGAGGAATGAACTTTATTGGGAATGTATGGGCCTCAAGAGATAGTTTGGGGATTTACTCTAGGCTATGCTTCGACTTGAATCATGAAACCATTCCATACAGTAACTCAAATCTCAGGTGAAAAACAGTCGCTAGAATTGAATGTACAGCAAGCAATCCAACATGCTGTAGCTGACATTGCCTGAATGCATATCAAACATCATATATAAAAGACAGTTGGCAATAATGTAGGTTTTAATGGACAGTATACTGTAGACCTTACTGAAAAAGAGAGAAGAGAACAAAGTATGTACACCATCTTTTCTTGGCATCGTGTTATCACTAATTGCATGAAAAAGCAATGATCTTCTCCTTATTGTTGGGACGTCTTCCAACAATGTGCTGCAGAATCAAATGAATATCCCACAAAAGTCATCAAAGAGGCAGTGAAACAAGATGTCATCTCAAACATATCACACTAAAATTACTTCAAACCAAATAACTGCCAACTACTCAGGGGGGAAAAAGTACGAGACCTATGTGAGACCTTTATTTGATAAGTGATCTACTGCACCAGATTTGCCTCAAGTCAACTTCCCAATAGAGTATCTGATAAAAAGTGATGATCCAAGAACAAAACGTATGTTCCATTCAAAGCTTATTACAGACCATATCATAAGATCGGTGCAACAATACACTAGCTAGCTTTCTCATATCATAACGCAGACAGTAGTAGTACTTACAATATGAGCAGTCTTCCCTGTATGCTTCCAGAATCAGCGCTTACCTGCTCCAGACCCTGACTGTGATCACAGCGGTAATGACATGGAGTCTCAGCATGTAAGAGCACACCTGAGCGCCATACAGAGAGAGAGCAGGCCAAACGAAGCCCCCGGGGTGCAAGTGAAGGAGAAGGAGGATTAGGTTTCATTCAAAGCTGACACATCCCTCTCTCTCCCTCTCTGACTTATACCTGAGGTAGAGTACAGCAAGAGGGAGGGATTTACTTGGACAAAGACACGAACACAGAGTACACACAGAGTTACTGAGGTATGCTCACCTTCCCTGGATGTAGTATAGTACGAGACAGCGGTTTACCCTAACAAAAACATAGAATACACCAATGGTCTCTTCTTTATATTCACCATATCCTGTGTAGTGGAGTGGATCCAATTCATAAAGCAATGAATTAGAACACATAGAATAGTGTCTGAGTGCACACCTTGCCTGGATACCATACAGTATGAGGAAGGGGGATTCAACCAACATAAAATAGTCTCTACTAGTGCATTTAAACCAAATACTGATACAGTTGTATCAAAGAAATAGAACACACATCGTTGTCAATCACAGATAATGAAGTAGATAAAACCTAGGTGGGTATTAATTCAGAAACAGATGAATTTCCAGATAGCACCTCCAGAAGTGCATTTGGTATATCGATTTAGATCCTTCTTGCTGGTTTTAATAAAATTGTAATTGTATTTCCTTTTTTTTTTTTATAGATGTATTCAAACTGTGAAAAATGAAGTGAGAAAAAGGCTAGTTCAAGCCATGCTAGAGAGGGATGTGTGAGATTATGCAAGGCAATGTCAGGATTATTTATTTATTTTACAACGCAATATGTTCAGTATAGCAGCGGTTCACAGCCTCTTCCATTCCGAGGACCACCAAATCACTGTCAACAGCTCTTGAGGACCACCATTCACAGAGTCTCAGAATTTTTTTACATAAAATATCTTGGCTGTCAAATTTTGAGTCAATTTTATCTGTGAATGTAACAGATTAAAGGCCTATTATTATAAACAATTTGTATTGTGAAAAGTAATGTAAAATTGCTTATTATACCATAAATACTCCCAACTGTTATTATTTTGGGAATCAATAAAATGTATGGACCACCTACAGTACCCCAGTGGACCACCAGTGGTCCGCAGACCACAGGTTGGAAACCACTGCAGTAAAGCATATATTTTGAGTGCAATAGGTGCCTGTATAGTTTTCTTCAATCAAGGCATTGAATAAAGGTGGAGGTTAGTGTTAATTCTGTGCACAACACTTTTACATTTCAAATCACTCATTATTCACTGAAAGGTTAACATACAGTACAGTACTAAAGGTATCCCCATTAACAAGTATGGCCCTGCCAAAGTACATAGATCAGGTCATCTACAGTGGGGGAAAAAAGTATTTAGTCAGCCACCAATTGTGCAAGTTCTCCCACTTAAAAAGATGAGAGAGGCCTGTGATTTTCATCATAGGTACACGTCAACTATGACAGACAAATTGAGAAAACAAAATCCAGAAAATCACATTGTAGGATTTTGTAGCAAAATTCCCAGAACCACACGGGGGGACCTAGTGAATGACCTGCAGAGAGCTGGGACCAAAGTAACAAAGCCTACCATCAGTAACACACTATGCCGCCAGGGACTCAAATCCTGCAGTGCCAGACGTGTCCCCCTGCTTAAGCCAGTACATGTCCAGGCCCGTCTGAAGTTTGCTAGAGTGTATTTGGATGATCCAGAAGAGGATTGGGAGAATGTCATATGGTCAGATGAAACCAAAATAGAACTTTTTGGTAAAAACTCAACTCGTCGTGTTTGGAGGACAAAGAATGCTGAGTTGCATCCAAAGAACACCATACCTACTGTGAAGCATGGGGTTGGAAACATCATGCTTTGGGGCTGTTTTTCTGCAAAGGGACCAGGACGACTGATCCGTGTAAAGGAAAGAATGAATGGGGCCATGTATCGTGAGATTTTGAGTGAAAACCTCCTTCCATCAGCAAGGGCATTGAAGATGAAACGTGGCTGGGTCTTTCAGCATGACAATGATCCCAAACACACCGCCCGGGCAACGAAGGAGTGGCTTCGTAAGAAGCATTTCAAGGTCCTGGAGTGGCCTAGCCAGTCTCCAGATCTCAACCCCATAGAAAATCTTTGGAGGGAGTTGAAAGTCTGTGTTGCCCAGCAACAGCCCCAAAACATCACTGCTCTAGAGGAGATCTGCATGGAGAAATGGGCCAAAATACCAGCAACAGTGTGTGAAAACCTTGTGAAGACTTACAGAAAACGTTTGACCTGTGTCATTGCCAACAAAGGGTATATAACAAAGTATTGAGAAACTTTTGTTATTGACCAAATACTTATTTTCCACCATAATTAGCAAATAAATTCATTAAAAATCCTACAATGTGATTTTCTGGAAAGAAAAAATCTCATTTTGTCTGTCATAGTTGACGTGTACCTATGATGAAAATTACAGGCCTCTCTCATCTTTTTAAGTGGGAGAACTTGCACAATTGGTGGCTGACTAAATACTTTTTTCCCCCACTGTACTTTGTTGCCACAACAACAACATAAGGGTTTCAAATGGACAACAACGGTAATTACATTTTACATTTTTAGTCATTTAGCAGACGCTCTTATCCAGAGCGACTTACAGGAGCAATTAGGGTTAAGTGCCTTGCTCAAGGGCACATCGACAGATTTTTCAACTAGTAGGCTCAGGGATTAGAACCAGCGACCTTTCGGTTACTGGCACAACGCTCTTAACCACTGAGCTACCTGCCGCCCCATGCAGTACAGCAATTGCAATGCAAGTTCAATGAGAAATAAGTCACCATTGCACGTATTTCTTTACTCCTTTAAAGCGCTCAGATTCTTTATATAATGAAAAGCGCTAAAAAAAAGTTTTATAAATTAAATTACCACTTTTATCTTATGCATCATTAGACTAGTTTGACACAATGTATCATAGGCATTATATTACAAAAAAGGCGACCCACAATTGTAGCGGGTGATTGTGAGAAGAGTCTGGCGCAGGAGGGTAAATCACAGAATAAATGGTTTATTCGGCAATACAGCTGTACGCAGCAATGCGTAACACACTCCAGTGCGGTAATACGGCGCACTGGAGAAAACAAGGCACACGGGTGAATATCCCGGCGATACAAAATACAATATAGCTCCACCAAGCTATAGTAACCTCCACAATAAACAATCACACACAAAGACAAGGGGGCCAGAGGGAACACTTATACAGGTACTGATGAGGGGGATATGAACCAGGTGTGTGTAATAAACAAGACAAAACAAATGGAATGATGAAATGAGGAGCGGCAGTGGCTAGAAGGCCGGTAACGACGAACGGCGAAGCCTGCCCGAACAAGAAGAGGAGGCAGCTCCGGAGGAAGTCGTGACAACAATAACATTCTATGGAAAGTTCAGTTTGTGGTGAAATACAGTATATCACTGTATTTGGTTTCCCTTCCCACATTCAGGGCATTTATGTAGTTTTTCTCCTGTGTGAACGAGCATGTGAAGCCGTAACATCTTTGCGATGTTTAACGTTTTACCACACTCCTTACAAGAGAATGACCTCTCTCCTGTGTGTTTTAACATATGAACCTTAGGAGCCAGACTGCGTAAATGTTCTCCCGCACTCTTTGCAAGAGAACGGTGTCTCCCCTGTGTGAGTGCGGCAGTGTACAGTCAAACCTCCAAACTGTTTGAATTTTTTACCACACTCCTCACAAGTGTGTGACTTAACATTGGAGTGAACATGTTTATAACTGGCCAGCTGAGTGAGGTTAAGAAAGCTTTTTCCACAATCCTCAAAGAGGCAGGACTTTTCTGGTTTGGGCCTGTGTGTGTATTGGTGCCTTTGAAGACCCTGCAGAAGACCAAAGCTCTTCCCACACTCTTCACAAGAATGGGGTTTGATACCAGTATGGTTTGACTGAAGCTCTTGCAACAGAACAGAATTTCCTCACAGATTTTTCTCACTGTCCATCGTCAGGTGCTTCCTTAGGCACTATGCATATCGGAGGTGCTTGTCGCATTTTGTGCAACAGTATGTTCTGTCAGCATCATGAATTGTTAGGTGCTGCTTTAAGCGTGATGCAGTACGGAAGCTCTTCTCACACTGTGTACAAAAGAAAGACTGAATCAGACTTAGAATCCTCTTGTGGCGAATCCGAACTGTCTGCTTGGTTTGCTGGCTGGTCACTTAGATTATCTTCTTCCAGTGTGTTCATCTGTTCAGTGTACTCAATGCGTATCTCATCTATTTGAATCTTTATTTCAGCTGAATCAATGTCATTTGCCCTGTTCTCTGGATCATTGCGGCTGTGGTGTTCTTTCATCAAGTTCTCCATCTTGATAGACGGAGGGAGAGGTGCAGTCTAATTTTCTGTTTGTGAATAAAAGAGAATAGAATAAGGCATGGCTAATGCAAACAAGCTACCCACTGGGCACACCGTGTCATTTCAACGTGGATCATTTGGTAATATGTGGCTGATACGTTGATCAATGAGATTACAACCTATATTCACCCACTCAAAAATACATTTTACTTTTTGAGTGGGTGAATATAGGTTACTACATGATTTACATGGTTACTACATGATTCCAAATGTGTTATTTCATTGTTTTATTCTACAATGAAGAAAATAGTGAAAATAAAGAAAAACCCTTGAATGAGTAGGTGTGTCCAAACTTTTGACTGGGACTGTATATACACACACACAACCGTTAATGTGTTATTTACATTTTAGTCATTAAGCATACACTCCTATTCAGAGCGATTTACAGTAGTGAGTGCATACATTTTGGTACTGGCCACCCGTGAGAATCGAACCCACATCCCTGGCGACTAAGCAACACTGTGCTTCATCTAATAGCATAATCAAATTAGCTGGATTGAGGTTGAGATTACATTAAAAGTACATGGTGCAAGTGATCAATGCCGTTCGAGATTCTACACACAATACAGCAATTTTGGATTAACGTTACATAAGAATACATTTATAGTTTCAGTAACCTCAAAATGTGGCCATGTTACTCATTTTAAGGTTGAATGTTACATTCGTTTGTAAGATAGTCTTAACTTTAGACTATTTACTGTACTGTATTAGAAAAGTAATAT